ATGTAGACTCTACTTCTTGGCTTCCAATACCCTTCAGAACCCGAAAAGAGGGTTTACAGGAACACTTGAAATGCTTTATTAGCGAAGATGAAATAAGCGATATTGTAGAACCAACAATATCTGCAACAACAACATCTACGCTTTTACGAAAGTCTCTCATTTCATTACAAAAATTAACATTATTTTTTGTTTCGAGATTCGGATCTTATCTTTGCGAAGCAAGTATCTACTTTATGGCCTAGCTTTTTACAAAAAGAACAAGGTTCTGCTTTATATTGAGAGGTCGTTTGAGCACTAGTTACTTGTGTAGCCATTGGAAACTTATTAGTACTTGAGTTAAATGCTCTCTTATAACAGTTAGCTAAAACATGTCCATGTTGCCCACCCGAAAAACATGCATTGTTGTCAAATCGACGTCTCCTAACAGTGCGCTTTTCCTTAAAATTTTGACATCGCTTGTTTAAATCTAACTGAGTTTGATTGCTTACCGAAGGATGAGAGCTATGCTTAATATAAATAGGAAAAAACTTTACTAAATCACACGGTAACGAAATGAAATGAAATGAAATGAAAATATCTTTATTCAAGTAGGCTATTACAAGCACTTTTGAATCGTCCAAAAAAAACTTTTTTCCCCTACCACTTGTTTAGGACGTCTTTTAGCTGACAAGAAGAACAAGCGAAAGAAACTTATCAGCTTTTTATCATAAGTAATGACATTTACATAAATCATGTCATTACCAAAATAATATGTATTATCAATTTATCACAATAGTAAATACAACTTTCAAAGTCTGTAGGACATAAGTTGAACATATAATTAGTCTTTATAGAACAAAGCGAAGGCTATTAATTCCATGCATTGCGATCCTTAAAGTAATCATCAACTTTATAATAGCCTTTGCTCATAAGTATATTCTTTACATGAATTTGAAATTTATTTATGGGTAGGTCAATTACATTTTGTGGAACTTTATTGAACATAGCAATACATTTACCCAGAAATGATCCTCTGGTTTTTTGAAGTCTGAAGCTTGGAACGGCAAGTTTATCTTTATTTCTTGTGTTAAGATTATGAACACTACTTTTTTTTGTGAAGGAATCGTAATGTTTTCTTGTGTACATAATATTCTCATAGATGTATTGAGAGGCAACAGTCAGAATATTTATTTCTTTAAATAGTTCTCTGAGAGATTCCCTAGACCGTAAATTATATATAGCACGGACAGCTCTCTTTTGTAAAATAAAAACATCCTGAATGCTAGCCGCAGAACCCCATAACAATATACCATACGTCATTACACCATGAAAATAACTAAAATATACCAATCTTGCCGTTTCAACATTTGTCAAGAGTCTAATTTTCTTAACAGCAAAAGCTGCAGAACTCAGTCTACTTGACAAGCTATCAATATGAGAATCCCATTGCAGTCGGGAATCTAGTGTAATACCAAGGAACTTTGTCGATTCTACTAACTCAACTTTTTCACTATTTACATTTATAAGTGTACTGACATGCCTCACATTAGGTAATGCAAACTTTATGCATTTCGTTTTATTTGAATTGAGCTTTAAATTATTATTATAAAAACCACTGTAGAACATTGTCGAGAGCATTATTTACATCGTCAAAACAATCATTACCCCTCTCAACTTTAAACAGTAAAGAGGTGTCATCTGCAAATAATACTGTCTCGCACAAATTCTTCGTAAAGTGAGGAAGATCATTTATATAAATTAGAAAAAGCAATGGTCCTAATATCGATCCCTGAGGTACGCCCATAGTAACTGGTGCCCCTGCAGATTTCGCTTCATTGATTACTACCTTTTGAATTCTAGCAGAAAGATATGATCTTATTAGATGAAGTGAATTTTTCGTCACACCATAATGTTCTAATTTCCCCAACAGTGTTTCATGACTAACGCAGTCGAATGCTTTTGATAGATCACAAAAAATGCCAATTGCATCTTGTTTATTCTCCCAAGCATCATAGATATGCCTCAGAAGTGCAATTCCAGCGTCTGTTGTACATTTACCTCTGCTAAAGCCAAACTGATTTTGGTGAAGTAATTTATTTAATGAAAAGTGTGCAAGCAGTTGATTGTAAATCATTTTCTCAAATACTTTACTTAACGCTGGTAACAAATTAGCATTAGTTGCAGCTGCCCCAATTTGTGGATCAGTGATACCACGAATAATTATTACGACAATCAATTCATCACTTAAACCTGCGACTATACGTAAACGAAGTAACGAGCGACGTGCATAATCAGCGTAGGTTATATACTGGTCAGAATTAGTACTCATTACGTCGAACAATATGTCCGCTACATTGATGTTTTTCAGACACAATGGCTTAAACTCTTTTTTAAAATTGCTCCAACTGCGATCATTTGTGACACACTCGTTGAGCCATTTTCTAAAATCGCCTTTTAAACAATTCCCTATTCTATAAAATCATTCCAGTTATTAACAATTTTAGCACGGTCAACTTCTTGACACCAGACTTCAACGTTGTGAAGTGATGGACCAAAACAAGAAATATAATACGGCTGATTCGATCGCACGGCAGTATTCAAAGAACGCAACGCGTCACCGAAAGCGTTCGTTAACATGCGTTCCGATAACGTAGACGCACTACTAGCGAGTTGTGTTAACTGTGGTTAGATATCAGCTGTTTCCGTAACCGCGCCAATCTTATCGCGACTGATTGACTGACACTGACAGTCATTATTAAATTCGTTTTTCGTGGTGGCGTACCGGGTGGTGTAAATGTTTCCTTTGTTACATTAAGAGATGGTGCCTTTACTAAATTAATCTCATAGTCAAATTCGCGAGATTTATATAGCCACGTTAAGATAGCGCCTAACATATTCCGTTCGTAACGCTAATAGAAATCACTAGTACGATTTCTATTAGCGTTACGAACGCTACGGAGACTACGACCGGTAGACGACGAACGAAGTCTACGAAGCGAACATTCCCGACCTCCACCGACGGAACGACGACGGGACTGAGATCTACTTCGGGGAATTCCCCGCGACCGCCGGCTTTGCGAGCTCGGAATAACTGCTGACATAGGTAGTGATAACGCGCCGCACTTGTTACCACAGAATGAGTATTAGAAAAAGGATTGCGTAATAGTCCACCTTTTGTTACTAAGCTTTAGATTTACCCACTAATTTAATAAGTTACTAATAACAAATAATGTCACAGATTTTTCATAAAACTAATAATTTCACATAAAACAAAGAATGTCACAGATATCACTTAAACACGAAAAAAGTCCGAAAAGAATGCTAAGATGGCTAACGAAACGTACTAAGGCCGTGAGCTTTTCTTTCATAATCCCACTTCTGATTTAAGGTAAAAAGGGTTCCTATCAAAAGTGAAACTATTCTAAAGAAAAACACCGAATCGCGATAAATATCTTTAATAACAACTAAGCTCGCGCACGCGCACACGTCCGTCCCGCACCGAGTCCTTATGACGCTCTCCTGGTTACCCCCGCACCCGACGACACCTCTGCCATGGCTCTCCTTACACTATAGTATATTATCAGACGTTATTTACTGCTAATAATATGTGAGATATGTGATGTAATGACGCGTACAGACTGAGCGAATGAACGTCAAATATATATTAAATCTTATTAAGTTATATTATATGAAATACGGATTAAGAATACTTTCAATATTTATTTCATTCGTTCAAATTACGTATTGAATACTTGAGAAATAAAAAAAAATTAAAGCTAAGATACCACAACCGATTTAAGAACATTATTGCCATTTCTCCAGTTGATCCGATGAAAGGTTTACGTATCGATTATTTTGTTCTAAATAATCGATTAGTTGATTTTATTTTAACATGCTTGTTTTCATCTATGAATGGTCTATGATGAGTGGATGATTGGTTTGGTTGTTTATTTTGTGTTCGTTCATGGAGTTTGATATTTATGTTATTATTCAACTTGATAATTTAGCGTGTTTCTTCGACTAACGATCTCAATATTGGTATTTGCATTACTTTTGGATTCCGAATAGCAATCGATTCGGTTATAATAATGACAGTTCAATGTATACATTGCCCTTATTTGTCACTTTCTATTGTAATGTTTTAATTAAGGCAAAGGGATCTATCGTAGTTCACACAGTCTAGTCATATGTTATAAATGTTTCTTCTATTATAAGTGTCTGGATCTTGTTAGATATTTTATTTAAGTATATTAAACGGAGTAATCTGGTTACCATTTTTATTTATTTTAACATCCATTCAACGAAAAAGCAAAGATTCAATATATAACCTCACAAAGTATTTTAGGCCATATCTTTTTAATCCCAAATTTTAAAGGAAAAAAACGATTAGGATTTTGTTAGTTTACCTTATATCTTCAAGTACACGTTTATTTCATTAATGAACGGGACTTTAAAAATTCAGGTCCAAAACTATATGGGAATTCGCCATTCTTCTTCAAGGCACTAACTGACGTCACACAGTGCTACGGTAGTGGAAACAGTATGGGCACCTGGGCAATCTTCGTTATTTCCGTTTATGTTTATAGCTGTTATATTCAAAGTTGTTACGTTTTATGTAACTCATTTGATGCCGTCCGTATTTTAGCAAAATTTTGTAATATATTTTCAAGTTTTCAACGTGTATTATCTTCCAAATTAGTGCCCTAAAATTTATTTTGTTAAATATTTACAAGATTTTATCTTGTAAATATTCATTTATTCATATTTTCCAAACATATAACAGAAACCTGTATTTTCACTTGTGAGGGAACAACCTGAAACTGTCTCATAATTTGCATATAAGTAGCTATTTATACCCATTGCCACCTAACATTATAAATATTTTAAGTTTGCTATAAAATAAAAGACAAGTTTCAAGAATATAAAACATTTTATTATATATCTTTACCATTTAAAAAATACATTAAATCCATAAAATATACATTTTAAAGTTACAGACTCTTTAAAATATACAATAAAAGTAATTTAGTGACATTCGATGTCTTTTTCGCATTTAAGTCTATATTGTAATAAATTTGTAACCACGGTCATAATTAAATAAAAAAATAAAAATTCATTAGGTATATTGCACTTGTAAAAATCTAGTTTAACTACATTAATTTAATTATTTTCTACTTTTTACAAGCTTTTATTGAACATATTTGTTTATTAGTGTGGCTCAATTTGGCAAGCTAAATGACCCACTTCCCAGTTTTCAATTAAGCTGAAATGCAAACACATTTAATTTGGATATAATTGCAATATGGAATGAAGCTGATATCATATAGGATCAAGAAGGTAGCCATGGAACTGCTGTAATTAAACAAAGTAATCCCATCAAGTTAGAGATTGTTTGAATTGTCTTATCAAATTTGGTTCAAGACAGTATCCATGGCTTGATGATGCAAGTGGAAGGTATACTATATTTTAAAAGTTTATTTTGAATTACACTAAATTTTCTAAACAAATGTTGGCAGTCCATTTTTGTAATGGATTATGCATCGCCACCTCAGCACTTGTCTGCAAGTTCGCAAGGGACTCTCTCCTGCCGCAACTCCCGAAAGAGCCAAAGAGCAGAGATATACCAATCAAACCTCCACTTCCTATGCAGAATGTAGGCCAACCATTGGAGAACTTATTTCTTACCAATTTTTTTTTGTAACTAATCATGCTGTGATTATATGACTTTTATCAAAACAGGCCTCATATTTTGTGAACACTTTAGGGTTTTGCACCAACCCCAATTAATCAAGCTTCTCACGAAAGTATATGTTAGTGCGCAACGTCATATCGCATATTTGTCAGTACTTATATTCCACAATCCATGAGACCAATCTTCTGTTAGATATGCACTTAACCTTAAGCATTAAACTTATGTTACCATAACTCTAAAGTTTACTATTATTCATTATTTTTCTGAGTGCTGTTAGTTCAATTTCATTTATTTCTAAAAGCTTATCTCTAATATGGCCCCGTATTAGTTTTTTGTTTGCTATTAATATTTCACATCTCAAATTTGTAACGTCTCTTAATTTGTTCCATACATTTTGTTGCAAATCCTCTTGTTTAAATATGTCATTCACAAAACCACATTGTAAAGCTTCTTTTGCAGACATCTTGTAGTTAAACAATAGCATATCAAGAGCCTGAAAGGTAATTTTAAATACTCATAGTTGAAATACATGTTAACCAAAATTATAAAGCTAATCAAAAAATGCATTAAATAATAGTCAGTCTTAATAAAACCATTATCAAATTCCCTATTACATTTGTACCTAAACATATTTAAAAAAATAATTTTAAGCATACTATAAATTTTTTTTACCTTTCTCTCACCCATTATTCTTGAAAATGTATATGTCGAACATCCTTCAGCCATAAATCCTAACTTAGTAAATGGAGTGTAAAAGTATGACTGAAAAATATTAAAACTGTGAGATATTTAATGGAGATAGTATGTAGTTTCTAGAACAGAGGTAGGAAGTTAAATACTTACATTTTCAGAAGCATAAACCAAGTCACATAGAGCCAATGTTGTGGCTGCGATACCAATAGCTGGGCCATTCACCATAGCTATCAGAATTTTCGGAAAAACAATAAATGATTTGATAAAATCATTTAGTGCAGAATAAAAGTCACTATCTGAAGACACATTACGCGCCGTTAAATCGTTACCACTACTAAAAAAGTCTCCAGTACCTGTGAGCACTACAATGTTAATAGCATCATCTCTTGTAGCATCTTCCAAAATTCTTGATATTGTTTTGTACATGATAAAATCTAAAGCATTTTTCTTTTTCGGTTTATTAATTCGCACTATTTTAACATTACTGCCAAAAGATTCTATGACAATATTGTCCAAATCCATGATGTAATCAACTTGCTATTCGTTCCTTTGTACATTGAAAATGATAGGTTGGGTTGTAGGTAAATGCGCGTTAATCCATAGATCTTCGATCAACAATACAGATAACGCCTCGCATATTAAACAATCAAAAACATTACACCTTTGCATTACACTTCTTCTTCTTCTTTTTTAATTCATGGCCTATTTGCATTTACACAATTCCGCCAATGTCACGTTTGTGGTCTTTACACGTATAGAAACAATAATAAAATATGTAAAATTTTGAATTTAAATAAATTAAAAAAAAATAGCTCTGAGCGCGTCTATCTGATTACATTGTTAAAGATAATACAAATAGAATGTATATAGAAAACAAATATATTTATAAATTAAGACTATTATTGATTGCAAAGAATTTTGCTAAAATTTTGAATGGGCTGGGATTCTCCATACTCAAGATACATTTTATATTTGTTGGACGTGGAACTTTTGATGGTAGCAAATCATAAAGCGAAATGGATAAATTTGAACAATTAAATAAAATATGATCCGTAGTTCCTTCCTCAATGCCACAATCGCAGAGGGGGTTGTCTTTAATTTTAAATTTGGCAAGTCGAACCGGCGTACACACATGTCCAATTCTCAGACGACAAATAATTGAAATCGTTTTTTTACTTAAAAGCTTTTCCTTAAAGAACCAGGGAGTACTGGGGATAGTTCTCTGAATTTCAAAATAATACTTTCCCGCTCTATTTCTAGTATTTTCCCAATCTACATTCCATGACCTCATTAAATGTTCATGTGCTAGTACAAAGAGATCGTGATGAAAAAGTTTGGAATATTTTAAAGAGCCAGTTATAACAGCTTGCTTAGCACATGCATCAGCTGTCTCGTTCCCAGGAATACCACAGTGTCCCGGTATCCATGCGAGGATAATGAGCAGCTTCTTAAGATGGCACCTATGCAATGCTTGTCTTATTTTAAATATTATTGGAAATTTATTTTTAGAACGAAACGGATGTGATATTATAGACTGTAAGCAACTCTGTGAATCTGTGAAAATGATAGTTTTGTTAAAGTTATGAGATTCGGCAAATAGGATGGCCTCAAGGAGAGCTAAAGCTTCTCCTGTAAATACAGAAGAGAGAGAGGGAATTTTGAAACTTAATACTAATCTGTGAACGGGAATCCATACTGCTGATCCAACTGGATCATTAACATGCTGCTTGGACGCATCAGTGTACATAGAAATCCAGCCTTTATATTCCGATGCTAATTTCCGTGCCATTGTACGCATGGCATATGGAGAGTCTTTGTCGATCCCAAAATCAAGAAGAATGATCGGCTCAAAAATAAGTGATTCAAAACTATTTTCAAAAAGATAGCACCACGATACAATGACGGGACGGTACTGTTCTTTGGTACTGTTGTACTGTTGGGCACAGATCATAGAGTATCTTTGTATACCACAGATTATATATATAGTCTGTTGCTCAGACCAAATAAAAAGTATAGACGGAGTTTTGCCTAACAGAAAAGTGAAGCCGGAAAAACTACGCCTCGGCGTATTCGTACAGAGTTTCACGCACACATACATAACGAAACTGCGCCTTCCTTATCAGTCTAACTAAAGACAGTGTGCGGAACGTTTCATTATAAAAAAAAATCAAAAATTTCTTACTAAGTGCCGAATTGTGTAGTAAAAGGTTGTAAAAACCAATCCTCAATAATTAAAAAGCAGGATGGAATCACATTTCAGATATAAGTATTGGAGAAAACTTACATTTTCAGTAATTTAAAAATAAAATTTAAGTAATTGCTTGGAACACAAAACCTCAGCCAAATATTACCATCGTTAAACGTTATTATTTACCCCGAAATCAGGAAACTTTAATTTTATAACGCGTTATTTCTAACAAAACACAAATTACGTTATGTATTTTTTTCTTGTTGTATGGAAATGATATTTAATAAATTTTGCATTCAAAATGCTACATAGCGATCCAGATCACAGATATTGAAGTGTTGGAATAAGGAAGTAAAAAATACAAAACGGGTTTTATTTTTTACTTCTTTATTTTTACTAAACGGGTTTGCATTAATTTTTGGATTTCCAAACCGACATCAAAAAGTGAAAGAGAAGTGGATTTCAGTCATTCGTAATAGTCGAAATGAACCTTCATGGAATCCAACTTCGCGCAGCGTAGTTTGTTCGACTCATTTTAGGAGCGATGATATGTATTTTACTATAAAAGGGTTACGTCGAATAAAGAAAAATTCATATCCAAACTTTTCAAACTTTCTATATATTAAAATTTTAGTTGACATAGTGGAAGTTTTCAAACTTAACTTAAAAATTAATTAAATAGTCTCTCCAATGTATGGCCTCCAATAATAATTACCTACTCTTAAAGATTTTAGAATATCTATGCTGATATTGACAAACGAATTTACATTATATTATTAAATAGCATAGCGTTAACGTTAACTCTATAACGTCGTAACGTTAAGTTATTGGGGTGTTTTTAATGACTATGGTCACACTGGCACGCACACTACAATTGCTAAAAATCGGCTTCACTTTGTTATTCAGCGAACTCCGTCTTTACTTTTTATTTGGTCTGAGGTCTGTTTTGGTTGGATCATGAAGCTAAAGAAATAACTGGAGACCAAACTCCTCCAAACCTACTTGAAGCATAAAAATTTGACCTTGAATGTTTTCTATTTCATTCCATAGGTCCCCCTCCTCTCTTTCTAATAGAGTGTCCACACAACTACAAAATAAAGGAGACAAGTTTAAAGAGTAGAAAATTAAGGCAAAAAAAAAGTATCAAATTTTCCTAGGTAGATGTAAAGTTTACACATGACATTAATAACTTTATTAAAGTTCCGTACTAAAAGCCTTTTTTCCGAATCTACTGGACCAAATCCTGTAAAAATTGTCTTCCTTTGACCTAAACACAGATATACAAAATAATTGAATTTGATTTTATAAATAAGGGTTATTTTCGGGGGACAAATGAGGAAATTTAAAAAAGTTTTGCTAGCCTAACTGTGTCGTACGTAAAATAGTATTTGATGAGTCTCGTTAGGGGGTTCTCAAAAAAAAATATATCAATTTTTGAGGATAAAAACTTCGCAGTGTGGGAATTATAGTTGGTAACAACTCTTCTTAATAATCACCAGCCTATTAATGTACCCACGATGGGTCCATTCCGGATTGGAGGGTATTTACAACTGGAGGGTAGATACAATCGGGACTAACTGCTTAACGTGCCTTCCAAAGCACGGAGTAGGTCTAACATGCAAAGTGAACTACAAGACTGTAGACTACGATTGTCAGCTTACCTTCCTTCCAAATCAAATCAAATCATTTATTGCATGTCACATTTAAAATTATAAGATAGTAATTATTTTGTTGCTCGTGTACATGTGACGCCCTGTAAGGGCATGGCAATGTTACAATCCAATACAATTATGTAAGATTGCAAAAAAATACAAATACCCAAAATTAAATAATTTTAGAAATGACATGTCAAGAAACTTATAACAATATATATTAACAATAATTAAATTAAATTAGGCATTTCCGATCGAATTGAAATGGAATAAGCACCCAGTAAATATTTCACCCTTAAGTCAATTTACTGATTTACATATCACATTCTTCTCTTATATTCTCAGATGTAATTGTCATTCTCAGATAAAAATAAAACAACATTGTTATTTTTAAATTTAATTTATATGTGACTAAAAAAGTACAGTTTTGATGACAATAAATAGTATTTGATTGTTACCATAGCAAGTCTATCGGACAACCTACGACGAGATGTTGAAGGTGTAGAAGGCATGGTAAATGCATCACTTCTTAGATCAGATTGTCCCGCCTAGAAAAAATACGAATTATGGTTATTTTGTCTAAACCATTAGGGAATTAAGATATTTCGAGACCATTTTTTCATAACATATTACATTAAGTAAAATAAAAATATTTTATTCCTTCCAAACGTAAACTTGTGGCTCGACGACCTTTTTCGCTTGTGTGTCATCTTAAATACGCGTACTTAAAAAGGACGTCGAGCCACAAGTTCGTGTTCTCACTCGGAAGTTTGTATTCTATTTTGGCTACCTAAGAATATCTATATAAGTCTATATTCTACTAATTAGTACCTAATTAGTAGAATATAGACTTTTACTTACCACATCAGAAAAAAAAGGAATTGTTGTATGCTTTAACCGATTCTCTATTATATAATCTGTAGCCACAAAATGATTACTGCATATTTTTGCAGTTTTATAAAACTTATTTTTTATTTGACACTCGATAGCCATTGATTACTCCTTATTAGATCCTTGGGAAAACTAAAAGTGAAATAAAAAATATTAAGTTCAGTTTTATTGTTTATCCTTTATCTTCCTTTCATGGTCACCATATTAGTGTTTGTTTATTTTTATTTTGCAATGTGAACTGTGCTTTTATTAGAAAATTTCTGAAATATGCTACTGTAAACAATTAAATCATATATTACTTTAGATGCCATATTATTGTAAATTATCAAAAATTGAAGGATTCTACGTTAAAAACATTATTTTTATAAAATGCAAGCAGTCATCAATTATAGTAACTTACGACTCACCTGTGAAATATCAAAGAACATCCAGGATGCCATTTGCTTCCGCAACCTAGGACTACACATTTCTGAACCATTTTTCACGATTTGATAGCGAGAAACGTTTATATATGAATCACAATTTTCGAGTCGACGAAATTAGTAATTATCATTCGCCATATTGACACACACGAGGTTGCCATTTTTTGAGGATGCCATTTACCACAACAATGGGGAAATTTAGAAAAAGAATTACGGTGTCTTATTCACATAGCATGGGTACGGTGATGTTTGGGGTTTGAAGTTTTTAGATACAAAAACTCGATGTTATTGAGTTTATTTCTAATAGAGATAAACTGTTTTGAGATCAACATATAAAACAGGATTTGAGAATAATATTTATTCATCAACTGTTAACAAATGTCATTGGTTTTAATAATAATTCAACAAATTAAATTGCAAGTCTGGATTATTGATAAATGAGATTGACATAACGACGGTAAAAAGTTAATAATTTTTATTAATTTGCAGCTATGTATCTGCCTTCTGATTATAATATTTGCGTACCATTTTTTATTATAGATTTTATTTAATTGTAGTTATTGCTTAATAACCCTTTTGTTTAAGTTTTTTGTTACATTGGATTGGATTTCAGAGTATATTTAATGTACAATCTTATTTCTGATATATAAATAAAGTTTCAAGTCCTATGCAATTAGTGACGTGTAAAACTATACTATTAGTACCAATTGTCGAAAAGTTTATGAAACATAAAATAGCGAATAACATCAATGATCGGTACAGGTTCCGGGAAAATTTAGATTTAGGACATAGCCACCCAGGAGTCCAACGAAAGGTCAATAGAGGTCATATAACTTTGCTTCAACCAATAGTTCTGAGTTTGGCCTCCAGTTCTTTTACTTTATCTTCATGGGTTGGATCCTAGGTTGGATGGTGTCTGGTCTATGGTATAAAAAAGAGTAAAACAATTTGACGCGGCATTCATTCTTTTACTTGCTTTTGTTTTCTTCTGTAAACCAGTAGCCAGGTTGGAGGGCGGGAAACTCTCGTGGCGGGAGGTTCAACTTTTTCTTTTAAATAATAATTATTTAATTTTTATTGTTAAACTCCAAGTAAACTTCACTTATATTAATTACTGTAAGTTGACAATGGGTTCAGATAAGGGAGGCAGCGAGCCTACACATGGTAAAAAAAAGAAAAACAAGTCCTCTGGTGGACTTTTCTGATGATGATGAAGATGTAAAACATGCACCATACTTCAAGAAAAATCACATACGGAGCTACCCTGAGAATTCTCCAGGCACAGTATTTCCAGTTTATATACAAAACATAAATGAAACAATTAAATTTGGAAATAAAAATCCCATTTATTTAAACAATATATTCATACTATAAAGGTGTGAAAGAAATCAAAAGAGTCAATGCTTTGTGGTATGCTGTTATCTTTGATAATGCAAAGAATGCAAATTCTCTGTTGTCTAATTCCTCTTTCTTGTCATCGCATGAAATTAAAGCTTTCATCCCAGCTGCAACTTGAGAATGCATAGGAATTATTAAATACATCCCTGTTGATCTCAGCTGCAAACATCTTTTTGATAAACTTATTAATTCCCAGGAAATATTGGCTGTACGCAAATTTACTAGCCGAACTCCTGATGGTATTGTCCCGTTGCAGACTGTTTCAGTGACATTTGCAGGTAATGTACTGCCCAAACGTGTAAACTGTGGTCTATGTCTTGTACCTGCAGAGGAATATATTAAGCCAGTATTACAATGCTATAAATGTATGGGTTTGGTCATACTACAAAGTTTTGTAAACGAAACATTGTATGCTCAATATGTTCAGAGTCTCATTCATACAAAGAATGTACCAATACAAATAAACCACTGTGTGTCAATTGCAAAGGTGAACACATTGCCGTGGCTAGGACTTGTCCAGTTAAACTACAGAAAATTAATGAAAATAGAAATAAAATAATGAACAGAAATAATTTGGGATCGTTCTTTACTGCACTGAACAAGTCTTATGCCAAGGCAACTAGTTCTAAACCTTTAAATGTACCTAGTGAAAATAACAAAGTACAGAATATTTTAATCGAAGTTATTAATAACGAAAAAGTACTTAAAGCTATCATCAATACATTGCTTATGTTTTGTAATAAAGAAAATAGCTTACTAATTAATTCTCCCACAATAAAAGAGATGTTTATCAAAAAAGTTACTCATAATGGATAGTAAAACATTAGTTGTTATACAGCACAATATCCAAAGCCTTAGACCTAAGTTGGCTTTTGTTTGCGAGCTATTAAATTCATTAAAAGTAGATATTTGCCAGTGGCGTAGCTAGGTAATCTAGGGTCCTGGGGCAAATTAAAAAAAGGGGGCTCACTATTACTAAAACTGGTAAGGTTTTTTGAAGTAAAATCATGAAATATACAAATACTTTAAAAACGATAAGCAACTTTATCATCAGCGAATCGTAATGATACGATACAAGACGTCGTTGGGGAATCCTCGGCAAACATTTTATGGTCACCAGTGTTACTACATTTGACGGTTTAAAAAATGACAAAAAAGCATAACTTAATTAATGGACGGCCCCCCTCAGACCAAATAAAAAGTAAAGACGGAGTTCGCTGAATAACAAAGTGAAGCCGATTTTTAGCAATTGTAGTGTGCGTGTCGGTGTGACCATAGTCATTAAAAACACCCCAATAACTTAACGTTAACGCTATGCTATTTAGTTATTTAATGTAAATTCGTTTGTCAATATTAGCATAGATATTCTAAAATCTTTAAAAGTAGGTAATTATTATTGGAGGCCATACATTGGAGAGACTATTTAATTAATTTTTAAGTTGAGTTTGAAAACTTCCACTATGTTAACTAAAATTTTTATATATAGAAAGTTTGAAACCTTTGCATATAAGTTTTGCTTTTCTCGACGTAACCCTTTTATAGTATAATACATATCATTGCTCTTAAAATGAGTCGAACAAACTACGCTTCGCGAAGTTGGATTCCATGAAAGTTCATTTCGACTATTACGAATGACTGAAATCCACTTCTCTTTCAAATTTTGATGTCGGTTTGGAAATGAAAAAATGTATGCAAACCTGTTTAGAAAAAATAAAGAAGTAAAAAATTAAACCCGTTTTTTATTTTTTACTTCCTTATTCTAACACTTCAATATCTGTGATCTGGACCTCTATGTAGCATTTTGAATGCAAAATTTATTATATATCATTTCCATACAACAAGAAAAAAATACATAACGTAATTTGTGTTTTGTTAGAAATAACGCGTTATAAAATTAAAGTTTCCTGATTTCGGGGTAAATAATTACGTTTAACGATGGTAATATTTGGCTGAGGTTTTGTGTTCCAAGCAATTACTTAAATTTTATTTTTAAATTACTGAAAATGTAAATTTTCTCCAATACTTATATGTGAAATGTGATTCCATCCTGCTTTTTAATTATTGAGGATTGGTTTTTACAACCTTTTACTACACAATTCGGCAGTTAGTAAGAAATTTTTGATTTTTTTTTATAATGAAACGTTCCGCACACTGTCTTTAGTTAGACTGATAAGGAAGGCGCAGTTTCGTTATGTATGTGTGCATGAAACTCTGTACGAATACGCCGAGGCGTAGTTTTTCCGGCTTCACTTTTCTGTTAGGCAAAACTCCGTCTATACTTTTTATTTGGTCTGAGCGGCCCCCTACCGCATATGACTTGTATTTTTCACGGTATTTTGAGTTTTATAGTGAGTAGCCGAAATCTATAGATGTCTTTACGTACTATAATCAAATAAAATTGAACTTTTTTATGAACCAGTGCAAAAAATTTATTGACATACGCTTACTTACTCCTGATACATTAACTTTTTAACCATTCTCGGAATATCTTGATGCGAAGTTCACAATCGCGAATCACAAAAACGCATATCGATAAATAATGATATACAGATATTGATATCCAACAAATTGATGAAAACATTAATAACACTGTCAACCCACACATATTTATACCTTTGCAATTTCTCACAACTGAGTTGCCATGATTAAACACGAGTTGTCACCTGTCATATTTTTTTGAAAATGGGAGAAATTTTCAAAAGTTGAATTCGATCGAGATTTTCTGGTAAAGATTCGTGGGCCCCCTGAGCTTGAGGGCCCAGGGGCACTGCCCCGCCTAGCCCCTTGGTAGCTACGCCACTGTTGTATAAATAATATGCCGTTTAATGTGATCTAAATATGAGATTCGAAATCAACCGTTCCAGTTAATTACTTTGGCTCTTAGGCTAGGCTCTGTGCTGTGGTCTGAGTTTAAACTTTTGAACCAAAAGTTTTGAATGATCAAAAGATTAATAAAAATTAGTAAATTTAAAAGTAATATTTGCCTCGAAACCTGAAATCCAGGTACTCGTGTACCCGAATACCTGCTAGGTATTCGAGTCAGTATCTAGGAAAATTATAGGTAGGTACGGTAGTAGTAATAATAATTTTCCTAGGTACACTTGCACTACCTTTGATACGTCAAAGGTAGAGAAAGTTTATCGCACTGAAACTAGAAAGTTTGATTTAAACTTGCTGCAAGTTGCTGTAGTTGTTATGGCAAATTTGAAGCAAGTCTTCTTTTTTAATGTATTAAACTTGTTGCAAGTCAGAAACAAGTTTAAATTGCTATCTGGGATGTACCGTGTGCATTTAGTAAGAAACGGTTAATTTGTATTTGTTAAAATAAAACTGTAAGATCCGTTCATTCATTCATCAAGAGTAAAATTACCTATTTGTTCGTGGGAGTATTCCAAGGTTGCCATAATAAGTAATAGAATATCTACTAATAATATTTACACTCGCGATCCGCTATGGGTTGCTGAGCCATCGAAGTAAAGTAAATAGGTACTATACTAATGTTTTAAACTATTCCTATTGCTAATGTTTTAAGAAATAATTGATGGTTAATCGTCGATTATGAAATCATAATCGATAGCAACTGATTATTTGAAAAATCGATTATTCGATTAATGGTATCGATTCCGCACATCATTAATCGCTATAAATAAATGTCATTTATTTAAAGTTCATGATGTCAGTTTATGTCTATCGATTACGTGAAAAATAATTGTGGATATTATAAAAATACTTCTGTGACATAATTTTAAAACTTAATTGAAGCAAAAGACGTTTTCACAAAGGTATCATCATATATATTTAGTTTTTAACTAATAAAAGCCGATGTCTGGACGGAAACCTTCACGCACATTCCGTCCGCCATTTTGATTTTCGCAGTCGATGATGAATGGATTTGTTCTAGTTGTATTGTGATCTTAAGGTAATTAATTTAAAATCATCATGTCAGAGAATAATTCTAAAGATCCTCCTATACAAACAATGAGCGGTATGCCACCAAATCATAATCCTTGGATGTATGGCATGTATCCTCAATATAATAATTACGGTGGTATGTACCCACCGTATTACAATCACTATTTTAATCACATGGGAAACAATGGTGGATTTCCAAACAACAATTGCAACCAATTTCAACAATGTAAAGAAACCAAAAGTGATTTTAATTGCCAGCAATTTCTAAAACCTCCAATGCCCCCTTTGTTAGGAATGTCACCTCTCGACACTACTCGCCCTTTCTTCCACCAATCTCCTATCAGATTTAATCTCAATGCAAATAGAAAAACTGCACCCATTCCGCCAAATGAAAATCCCCTTTTAACAAACAATGGCGGTTCGAAAAAAAAACGGAAGAAGGGTAATAAAATGATAGATGATAATGCCAATAATCATAATGTAAATGATACAATGCCTCCTTTGCCAGACCATCCGCCTCCACTTCCGCCATGTCCACCACCTGATTTAACTAAACCTCCTCCACCACCTTTAGATGTCCCGCTGCCTCCTCCCATAGCCACTGAAGATATCCCTGAACCACCAGAGGTGCAGAACAATGAAAGCACCTCAGAAAAACAACCCATAAACTTTTTAAAACAACCAGATTCCTCTGATATCCTTAAATCTTCTTCCCTAAGTCAAACATCATCTGGAACATGGCCAGAGAGCCTAGAAAGATACATTAAAAGATGTTACGAAAAATGTAAAACTGCATTTGATCGTGACCAGATTGACATATGCCTTAAGGGTCGAATAACAGCTGCAGCAAATAAAGATGAAATTTGGACTAGAAATTGGGATGAAGAACCTATTCCTAGTGTACATAGTGAACGTCATAATCTATCAGTAAAACCTGTGCGTGGTACATTAAGCTTATATCAAAAAACTGAACCAGAAACGCCAAAATGTAAAGGTGGTCTTAATGGACGTAGTTTTAGTGGACATAAGACATCACCTCAAAGAAGGCGTAGACAACACTCTAAAAGTAGATCTAAATCCAGGAGTCCATCTAGAAAACGGATAAGGTATATAGCCTTTTATTTATACATCAGTTTTTCTTCTTTTTCTGGTGTTGCCTAATCTTACTAACAATTTTCTGTTTCAGTGCATCTTCGACTTCTGGTGATGAATTTGAAGAAAAGAAAAATTTCAAATCTAAGGGTCGCCAGAAAGTCAAGGACAGATTATCTTTAGATCAAAAGAAATCAGAAAAACATAAAAATCAAAAAAAGAAATCTAATTATACTGATTTTATCATTGAAGATGTTACAGGAAATGCAGAAAAACTTCAAAAAAGAGCTGAAAGATTTGCAAATGGTAGTCATGTACCCTCCATAGCAAGTTCCATACAAGCAGGTAAGAAATGTGAACCTAGTACAAGGAAACCAATAATTCAAGACACCGAAGGAGACTATGACTTAAATGAGATGCATATAGTCGGTACATGTTTAGACATTGAAAAGTCGTTCCTTAGACTTACAAAAGCTCCAGAGGCTTGTGAAGTCAGACCTGTTGCAGTCTTAAGAAATTCACTGAAAAATGTCAAAGAGCGGTGGATAGAAAAACAAGACTACAGATATGCTTGTGACCAATTAAAATCAATAAGGCAGGATTTAACAGTAAGTAAAAATCTATAAATAATATTCACTGATTAAGATGAATTTGTATTATCAAATAGATATATTTCATAGTTTACATTTTGTTGCCTTAACTGACTTCATTGTTTTTTCAGGTTCAAGGAATAAGAGATAGTTTCACTGTTGAAGTGTATGAAACTCATGCAAGAATAGCATTGGAGAGAGGAGACCATGAAGAATTTAACCAATGTCAAACACAATTAAAAATGTTGTATGACGAATTACCTGATTGTAGAACGAATACAGCAGAATTTACTGCTTACCGAATATTATACTATATCTTCACAACTAATACTCTAGGTTAGTCATAATATGATCATTTTATATACATATTAACAAAAATATGATTTCAATTTTTATGTCGAAATTCTATTTTGTATATGTATTTGATTTTTTTTTTCAGATATAACAACAATATTCCAATGCCTATCTAAAGAGGAAAGAGAAAATGAATGTATCAAACATGCCCTTGAAACCAGATGTGCTTGGGCTACAGGAAATTTGCACAAATTTTTCTTACTTTACAAAACAGCACCGTTAATGGCTGGCTACCTGATGGATTGGTTTGTGGAAAGAGAAAGGAAGCTCTACCTCAAATACATCATAAAGTCGTACGTCAATATTTTTTAGATTTTTATTAATGATTTCATTATTTAAAAAATTAAATATACTGCTCAATGGAATACTCTTGTATTTCAATGCAGGAATGAAAATTCAATATTAGTAATTGGATAAAATAAATTACTTCTGTAATTGTTCACAACTCACCATTTCTATAACATATTATGCATGAAAGAGAAAATGTTTGAATGATAAAGACAAAACACATTTAGTAAAAATTTAGGTTAAAGATTAATTGATTTTCAATGAATATTAATTATTATATTTTATCAATTTTGTATTTGCAATACTTATGCATTAATGCTTATGTTTAATGAAAATTTATTAAAACACTGCCAAGAATTTTTTCATTAAAGAAACTTCACTTACACATAGCCATATGATCTAACTTAGTTTAAAAAGTCTTTTTAAAGGCCTCTTGACTGATATTTATTAATATTTATATGTATATTCTATTTTTATTTACGTAATATAGAGATTGTTGTTTACTAAATATTTCAGGACTGTTTGCAGTCCTGGTTTTGTTATTTAAACCTATTCTTATATGTGCAGCTACAGGCAGTCCGTTCCTGTGGAATTCATCGTTCGAGAACTGGCGTTCGAGTCTAATGTTAAAGCCTTAGAATTCTTAAAGAAATTCCCTATCACATTTACTGGCGGCGATCAGAATCAAATAGATTGCAAGGCCAGCTCCCAAAGTGTAGGGGGTATATAACATTTCCTTCTCGATAAATGTCGTGTCGTTATGTCGTATTCTTGCGTGGTGATGTAAAGCACTACGTTCGCACAGGGTTCGACAAAGCAGTTGTTCTCCTGGCTTATGTCATTCTCAGCATTAATTTCCATCAGCTTACTAGGATCAAACGGCACAACAAACAAGACAGCATTCAAATAATAGAAGTCAAAAGCTGCATCAAAGAAGACACCGGGTAATGAAGAAAGAAGCATCCAAGTTTAGTGTTTGAAAAGAACAATAAATCAAATAGTGGGAATATACAGACTCAAGGACTAAGTAATGTTTACAAAGTGAACTTTTAAAGTTTTCTCCATGAATCTTCTGTAAATAATTATTGTATGTGTTGTAAATTTTATTTCCCGTTAATGATTTTTAACTTACAATTAAACTTAATTTAAAAGATGAAATTGTCATATTTAATAATAAAACATCTTTATTTTTAAATATGTTTATTTTCTATAACATATATTACATCTTCTGGTTTAGATATTCTTACAAAACTTGACGGTGTCCGTCAGGGTGACAATGCCAACCCCGCGGATTTTGAAATTTCATACCTCAATGATTAGTCGGTTGCGAAATAAGGGCAAATAGCCAAGTTATCTTTTTGAGATACAAGAAACGAGCGCTGCTGAGCGAACGCCAATCCATTAGTAATCCTACCTAATAAATGCAAATGTTTGAGAGAACGTATATGTTTGTTACTCTTTCTTGCAAAAACTACTGAATGGATTTAACTAAGTTTGCTATAGGATAATTAAAAGCCTGAATTAACATACTGGCTACCTTTAAAATGGGATAAATCTACTGTCGAATCTAGGGATAAACCTACTGTTGAGTCTAAAAAGAAATCTACTCTGGTCTAGGTATAAATCTACCGTCGAATCTAGAGATAAAACTTCCGTCGAATCTTTGGATAAATCTGCTGGCGAATCTAGGGATAAATCTACTGAAGAATATAAGGATAAATTCGACAGTCCATTTACGCCTGGAGATATATACCAGAAGAATGGACAACGGTTAAAGTCCAGTTCAATCCCAATGCTGGTAAAAAGGATTATGCTCAACCGAAATCCTTTAAACCAATAAGCCTGACCTCCTTTCTATTAAACAGTGTGGAAGAAGTCATTGACATAGGTATGCATAAGAGACCCCTAAAAACGTCATCTGCATGCAAAATAACACGCATATCAAAAAGGCAAATCCACACTTGAACTTACAGATAGGATCGAAAGGGCTATTGTAGACAAACAGATAGCTCTCTGTGCCTTCCTAAACATTAAAGGAGCATTCGATAATGTCACCATTGAAACCTTATCTAAAGGAATGAGACCAAACAATAGGCCCTTTCAAATACCGGGCGTAACATTCGACCAAAAGCTCACGTGGACGCGTCATATAAACAACATAAACAAAAAAATTTGTTAAATTTTCAAATTTAAATCGATTATCCGGATTTTCGATTATACGAAATACCCCTCGTTTTAATTGTTTCGGATAATCGGGATTCTACTATATATTATACATATACATTGACGCTCCTCCCTAGACTGACATTGCCAGTCAGGCGCCCACTGGAATCACATGCCCTGGGTGGGCGCCGCCCACCCAGGGCATGTGATTCCAATTCTTTAAAATAATCTGGGATTAAAACATATAAATAATTTTGAGAACTATTTTTATTTTATTATGTAGGTACACAATACAATGATATAAATTTGAATAATTTGTATTTTTAACAAAAACTGTATTATTATTTTATTTCAATATTTACACGTAATACAGCGATTTAATAAATTTATTGCATCTATTATTTTTAAAATACATTTTACCTACTTTGTTGGTAAATATTTGGGTAGTGGTATTATTAAAAAATGCAGCGTGCGCCTTTAACAACAGACGTACACCAAAGTGCACCGTCACGCGTACGAGAATTCCAAACCTAGCCTGTTAACGCTATCGGAGCATGGTTATTTATCACTATGGACTGATAAATAAGCTCAATAGACACTATTTAACGTGTTTAACATAAAATCCACATAAGTAAAATGACTTTCTGTTAAATACCGTTCCGTCCAATTGATAACCTCTGCTTTAATTGAAGCACGTGCTGTCGATGCAACGTTATACGCCGCGATGCAGCGCTTTACACTGACGTATCGCGATGCGCAATACTGTGTGTATAGTGAAAACTTATTCTGCAGCCAAAATCTAATGAAAAATCTGTGCAGCCTGGTCGTACATGGGAAAATAGTTGTTGACTGAACTATGAATTTTCAGTTAGAAACTGAAGTAGCGACAATTATTTTTTTCACTTTATTACATGGCTATTTAACTAAAAATTCCCTATATACATTACTACCCGATTATCGTTCATTATTATCTGTAGCTGTAATCTTACAATTTGTAAGGTCAATCAAAAATAAAACTTCATAGGTATGTTTTACTTACCCTACCAGCAGAGCGACCGCCTAACTAATCTAACTCTATCCATAGGATACTACATCTTAGCGATGTTATTATAGTGCTATTTCGTTTCTTTACACTACTTTGAGATGTACTTTAATAATGACGAACGAATGATAAAGAATTATGAATATGGATTTGCCAGCAGTTTCTAACTAACGGTAAGTTGCACAAACATCCATTAAGGTTTAATGACACCTTTAAGCTCTAATGAATTTCAAATTTGTATGGGTAATATCGCTTTAAACTAATGAAAATTTTAAAGGATGTTTGTACAACATCGTCGTAATATTTGCTAAGATTTCGTATTCTTTGGCACATGTTAGGCGGTCGCACCGTTGAGCTTATACTTATCTCTCTGTCTCAGTCCAGAAGCACCATATCTTAAATTTTGAAAATGAATTTTGTCCATGACGAAACATAAACAAATAGCCAAGTAAGTAACTAATTAGGCGGAGACAAAGGTCCTTATGGTGCTGCTGGACTGATGACATATTTTGAAAACTCCAACCAGTGGTGAATTATCTTCTAAAATAAAGACCAACTCAGCTAGACTTGTAGTATACATAGAAGTCTTTGAACCAGGCACATGCCTATAGGTGCGTCGTAAAAAAGGGGCGTTTATCATTTTATTTTGTAAATATAAATAATTAATATATTATCAAAACATAACATGAGAGAAATAATGACTATCATACATTGAATTTCTGGGTACCTTTTATATTAATTAATTTTTTAATCATCTACTAGATCAAAAAATTTTAACAAAAAAGATTTAGATTCCCATACAAATGTATATGTCTCTTACCTCAGCAACACCTGTTATTTTGTATTCATTACATTTTCCAAAAACATTAATGAAAGATATAGTTAAATATCTTTTGATACCACCAAACTTAAAAAAAACATTCATACCATTCTAAACTTAAAAAAAAACACTATTTAATATATTACATATACAATATATTATTCTCTATCTCATGTTTAATTGTTATTTTTAGTGTTCTTTAAAATTTTTGGTACATCATCTTCCTATTAATGTCCACACTACTAGGGCACAGGCCTACCCTATGAATGGAATCAAATAGCATAATTTTTAAGAGCAGTTAATAACCTATTGAGGTTTTCACAGATTATAACTGATCATATTAAAAATGAGGCAGACAAACTTTTCCAGCAAAAAGTTCAGAAATCACAGTGATCCACAAAGACAAGACAAATAATATATATGATATTCCAACTTGATGACTGTTGGGCAGTTGATAAGGTTGGCCACCAATTTCATCCACATGAAATCCCATAGGAAATATAACAGCAGCTAGACAGAACACTACCACTGGAACAAAACAAATAATATTAAATTTAGTTAGACATAACATTCAAAGAATCAAATAATGAAAATAAAGTATGCATTCAAGTGAGACAAACATGATGTTTATAGATGATAAGATAATCACTTACTTGCAGCAAATCCTACCCACCGGGCATAAGGGATAACATTTCGATCAAAATGGCTTGATGCTAACAATATTACTGTTGTAGTAATGCATATGCAACCAATAAATATACATATCAAAGCTAACAACCACTCAGGTTGTAAGTCTGGAGTAAAACAAACTTGTGGTCTATTGTACAAAGTAATGCATGACCACATCAAGCCGAGACGAGTATCACCTGTAACAAATAACCTTTGAAACCAATAAATGTGAATATTTTACTTACTGTGATTAACATGCCTGATACTTGTAACATGAAAAATATGTCTATTTTACAAGATATCATCATTTACTTTGATCAATATTTTCAGTAAAAAAACCCAAGCAATGTGGTGTCTGAATTATTAAGAGTATTGTATTAAAGAAAAGAAATCACTGATTACCACCAACGTCTGTAATTATCCAATCTGGCATTGCAAGGCTTACAATTGCAAAAACATCAGCAGCCATAAATAGAGTCCCTGAGATCACAGTAAGTTTATCCATGTCGTATATTTGCTAAAGGTAATCATACAAGCTTGAATACCCTTTGGATAAAGCACTAACTTCAACAGCGACGCTATGTTGCACTTATTATACCATAGTTTGGCATCACATTAATTTGTTTTCTCCGTTCTTTTTAGCAAACATTTCATTCCTTGAAAATACTCTATTGTACTCAATACTCAATACTCAAATGTTTATTGTACTGTTATATGTACAACACAACCCCAAATAGTCTCAACTCTTTATTAAGAATCACTGCTGATACGTAGTATCTTCTTCTTGGTCTGTGCACTGCTGTTTAATTTCTTTTCGTAGGATAGAAAAGTTTTCTTCTTTTTAATTAATGGCGTTGCCCTTGTATATAATAATTCCTTTCGCATCTTAAACTGTCAATGTCAAACAGATTTTTTTATTTATTTTTCGAATAGACCAAGGTCATAGACCATGCTGCCTTGTCATTAGTTTAATTGTATTGCTTTGTATTCATAATAAAATAACTGTGCAATAAATAAAATTAGTTTATAAGTAAAATATTCCAATATTAAGGCAAGAATATTCAAATTTACAAAATAAAATCAAAGGGACCATATACATACTGTTACGAGTTAGGGTTTGGGATAAAAATTAACACCAATTGAGCTTACAATCCAACTTTTTTAATTAACAAAATCACAAAAATAACTGTAACAACAAAATACACACTTTTCGCTACGATCGCTACACAACAGTAATAAAACGTTAACCGCACAAGTTTTCGCTTCGAGTTTCTCTTCTGATCGCCGGCAATCTTCAGTGAGTGATCGCTTATTCAGTGCGGGTACTAGTGGTTCACTGCGTATTTATAAGGGCCGATACCATATCTAGAATGTTCTAGGTTAGGTTAGTAGGACCTAGAACATTCTAGGTTAAATCAAATCAACATTTTCATTTGATTTAATTTTATGAAAGTCCTGTTAATTAATAAAATTATGTGATTGATTTAATTATATAAGTAGGTACAGTATTAAATATGCCTTTCTTACTGAATCTACTATTTCCTCCCTTTCCTTTATTGGTGAGTTATCGTTGTCGTGTTTTTAGTAATCTAAATGTAATAATTGTTTCTTTATTTGCAGCAATATCCTTCAGTACTGCCAAATTGGACAGCTTTTGTGAAGAAGAAAATCAAAGTTTAAAATAAGAAACAAAAATTCATGTTTTTCTAACTGTATTATATTATAATTAAATAAAAGGACGAACATTGTTTTGGGGTTTTATTTTTGAAATACTTAGTTTTTGGAGCTTGCAGTGGGTTTGAGGGGAAAGTCATAAGTCATAATAGCATATGGCAACACTGCCCTCAACACTAATCGATATATTATTTCTGATGAGATAAATTCTGCGCAATAAGCGACTATCTATAAAAATTGTCGAAATGCCAAGAAAACAAAACAAAAATTATATTATTCAAACAAACCAGTATTTGTTTGTTTTTTTTTTTTTTTTTTTTGTTTTTTTTTTTTTTTTTCTGGGTTCGCACGGCTTGTGCATTTAGCCAATGACATTATTTTGGGTAAAGTTAGGGAAACGTCAGGAAAGGGATAAAGTTTAAGGTTAACGGGAATTTGGAATAATAAGGATTAGAAGGGTATAAGGATAAGATGAAGGATATTATTATAACATAAGGTAAAGGATTGACATCAGGAGCACTCTCAGTGATACCCACAGAACAGATAAAAAGGTTAGAATGATAACGTACTAACATTAGTACTAGAACCGCGCGTGCCAGATATCACACAGACGTAAAACTTCACCTATTCAGCTCACAAAGAAAGCGATGCTTCCATTGGCTACAAAAGTTTCAGCAAAATTAGTATATACTAGCTTATTAATACAGGTGATTTTACAGTAATACACAAAATGTATGGCTAGCTATAATAAAAATTTGCACAATTACTTTTGTTAGTTCTAAATATTATATTTTGTGCGCGGATATTAAATTAGTTAATGTGTAAACATTTGAAATACATGTTTCATTACATAAAAATGTTATTGCACGACGTATCTGCATTAAAACAATTTTTCAAAATATAATGCAAAGAATTTTACGCTTCTGTCAACACTGAAATAGTGAAATGCCCTGTGATTCACAATTTGATATCGATAATCAGAAAATCATTGATATATTGGGTTAATATAATAAAATAATTTATTAATTTATCATTTCGCATATTCACGAAAAAAATCCAATGAAAATAAATACCATATGTATGTAATCACTTCACAATGATTGTAATCAACTTTCACTTGAAACGGATCGATCAATTAGACCAATTCCTATCTTGCTAAAGTAGCAATGTAACTGCGATTTTTGTCAGTTTTAATCAGAAGTAGGCTGCAACGGGGTCACATATCAAGAGCAGGCGACAGTGATGATAATTTGGCCCTTTGGGGGCTAGATTTTTATAATTTGAATTAGCCTTTTTTCTATTATATAGTCATAGTTTTATTTTTTGATACCTAGCTAATTTTTTTTTGTATATTTAATGATTCATATTTTTTTTACTAACTAGGTATTATATGAAGCACAATATATTAAGAATGGAAAATAATAACAAAGATGTCTCATTGAAACTATATTTCAATAATATCCCAATATAACATTTAATTTCACAATATCATCAGAAAATAAGTTGTAATACATAATATTTCATTATAAATTTGTAAGTAATTTATCATATTATTTAATATTAATGAAATCATTTACAGAAAAATATGTTGAACAAATGTAACTAGTTTTAGAAGGAAACCATTGACCATTTCTATCACGCGTCAATCCACTTTTCTTTTATGTCGGGGTTTCTAGGAAAACTGAAACATACAATACAAAACTCTTTGTTGTTCACATTACACAATGAATTACAAAATTTAATAGTAAATTAACACTATTAATTTAATAGTAAATTAGTAGCAAAAACATACAAATCTCTAAAAAAATTCTGTTAACTATTTATCTTAATAGATTTAATGTTATAATTGCATGTAAATTGATTGCCATTCATAATATTAGGGTTAAGTACTATCGATAGCATTTTATCGATATCTGCAAGCACTATGTTAACAACTGACACAATCTCACGGAAAAAAAAATGTGATTATATCTCGATATACTGTTATATATCCAATATTTTTTACATACCGATGAAATGAAATTTCTCCTTTTTTCAGAATTACATTTTCATTACGCAAACGACTCGTAATAACGGCATTATTCGGCATATTTTCGTATTTTTCGACGCACCATAGACCACTATGACATTGTGCAAATAATAAACTAGCAATTTGAGTAACATGACGTTCATATGACCGTTTTGGGCATATGGATGGTCGCACGACCCCGCCCACTTAATCGTTCTACCTTTTTATCTGTTCTGTGGTGATACCAACAAGCAGTGGCATTGTCATAGACAAACAAAAAAGACAAGCAGGTCATAGATTGTAATTTTGAAATAGGGTATTTGACTCTTTTCTGAAAACTATTTTAAATCGATGTTTGCTACATTATAAACACACTGTCATAATATTTCATTGGAATCTTTTCTATTTTTGGTGAAAATAATTGTTAAAATTAAAATAGCCAAAAGCGCGCGAAAAACGCTGCGCTATGTAATGGCGCTGATCGTGACGTCACAGGCCAGTAAATATGTCAAATCGATAAGTAACAACTGTCTTAATAGTAAATTGAAATAATAATTTAGAAGAGAAATTGAAGTCGTAGTGCGTATTTTTTACGTTTTTTATTTTCCTCTGCTCTGGTTTTCTTTAAAAAATGAGCTACAAGTGGTGCGTAGTGCCACAATGTACTAATACTTCTATAAATAACAAACAAACTTCAAGTCTAGAAGAAAATAGATTTACAATCACAATAGTATAGTAGCTATATAGAGTAGAGATGGGTGAGATAAAATTAGGTATTTGCTAAAAGTATTGACACTTTTTTATTTCGTATCGTTTTCTTTCCGGTTTTTTCTTTGTCATAAACATTTTACGACTCATTAATATTTGTTGACAGGGCTCGCACTTTACAGCCTGTCGACCTACAGATGGATGAGACATTAGTACGAAAAAGAATGTTCTATTTTTTTATCTGTCTACTAAATGCATGGCATTTGATAATTAGATATCAGAACCCGATGATTTTTTAAAATTAATTATTAACTTGGGGAACAGTATATATCATCAAAATCGACTTTGTAATTTGATTTATTATATTAAAGTTCAAGAAATGAGAAATGCATGTATGTTGCTCTTTTTTTAAATTGCTGGCGTTTTCCCTATTTCTTGGATTTTTTAAAAAGCTTAGTAAATGATTCTTTCTTTCTGTATTTCTTTTTGGCAGTTCTTATCAGTAGAAGCGGCAAAGTATTCTGTTATCAGTTAATTACTATAAAGTACTCGATACCTACAGGCATCGATATTTTATGTATCTTTCTAACACTACTTTGACATGACAGGTGATGACGTCACAGGCCAGTAAACAGAATCGTGATTGGTTGTAACGACGACCAATTATAGGACGTTTTCGTCATTGAATAAATTCCTAAAAATATTACATTTTCTTAACGTTATTTTTCTAAATCTAAACATGTTTTTTCTGCAGATGTTAAGAAATAAGCTTTATTAGATTATTATCTATCAGGATGACCACAACATGCAACTTATTTTCGATAGTGTCAAATACCCTATTCATACAGCCTACTGCCAACCTACTCTTTTTCAAAATTTAAGAAATACATGATGTGATGCATGAGCAAACAGCAGAACTTTAAAAAATATATCGATTTTGATACGAATTTGTTATCTGAAAATAATTATCGAAAGCCGATAAATCGCGAAATAAAATAACGCTGATTTATATCGATTTTATTCAGTAAAAATATCGATTGTTATTTCCCAAACCTAAATGATCTTAAACACTAATGAAAGCTGTGTATGTTACACAAATGTTTATTATAAGGAGAAAAAAGAAAAAAGGCGGGAAACGTCGAACTTGGTGGGCGCGTTTTTCGAGTTTGAAAAGAATTTAATTTAATTTTATTAAGTATTGGTGATCAGATTTGTATATTTTCATCTTAGTTACTTTTAAATTTATTTAGTATTAGTTTGTAGTGTATTATAGCAGTTTATTGGTAAGTTTTTACGTTTTATTTTATGAACGAGCCTCCGGACATAGAACCGCCGGGGGACTATGTTCCCCCGGCTGGACTATTTGTTACCGTTTCTAATGAATCTGGAATGGAAACCGACGGTTCATTATCAGGACGATCACTCAAACGGAGTCGCGTGCATGTATGTAAGCACTGCAATAAAAAACGTCGCCGTAATCATAGTTCTGACTCAAAAAATGATTGCAATTGTTTTGATCTTTCACCAAGAAAAGAGTCTACTTCAAATGTAACTAAAAAAAAGACACAATCAGTTGACAAAGATTTTAATGTCTCTATTCCATCATCTGCTACTACAGAGCCCACAGTCACACCAACACCAATTGGCCGCGTTCTTTACAATAAAAATGATATTTCCCCATTTACTGTTCATGTGCAAAAAATACAAACTGACCTTCATGATAATACTTCAATTCATCCTGTTACTTTTGGAAGGTTTTTAAAAAATAACCAATTTGAAAATATTGTCAACGGTAGTGTAAAACTTATTGGCCGCAATAAAGTCTCACTAGCTTTTTCTGATTATATGTCTGCAAATTCTTTCATCACTAACAAAAAACTAGAAATTAATAAAATGAAAGCTTTTATACCTACTTTCAATGTCACTAGAATGGGTCTTGTACGAGGTGTCCCTTCAGAATGGACACCCGAAGAAGTTCTCGAAAATATTACTGTCCCAATGGGATGTGGCAAGATAATTAAAGTAAGACGTATCAATTATAAAGTTTCCCAAGGAGGTTCGGTTATATGGAAGCCCACACAATCAGTTGTAATTACTTTCGATGGGCAAATTTTACCCAAACGTGTCTTCATGTGTTTCAATGCTTTGCCAGTAGATCTGTACATTTATCCAACAATACAATGTTACTATTGTTGTCGCTTTGGCCATACTAAAAACCAGTGTAGGTCTAAACCCCGATGCTTTAAGTGTGGGGGAAATCATTCGGGTGATTCTTGTGAAACAGAGGAAGACAGTAATGTTTTTTGCTGCTTATGTGAAGGATCCCATTTTGCTACAAACAAATCTTGTCCAGAGTATATTCGACAAAAAGAAATTAAGGTCTATATGGCAAATAATTGCACATCCTATGTAGAAGCATCAAAATCTTTTCCTAAAGTTTCAAAATCATATTCCAATGTTGTCTCCACTAATTCTTTTAAAACTCCTTTATATAAAAATTCAACATCAAATGTAGACCATAAAAGTAATTCTCCTACTTCTTCATATAAAAAGACAGTATTTCTTAAACCTCGCACTCCACCTAGACTAACACCGGGTTATGATATTGAAGCTCACAAGGCTCTTATAAAGGAATTCGATAGTCCTATTCCTGCAGATGGGTGTGTATTCAATAATAAACTTCAAGATGAAAATAAAACTCAGATATCCATCACAGATTTAATTAAATTATTAATATCATTACTTACTCATTTTAACACAAATTCTTCTTCTGCCCTTCATTTACCGTCCAACGCAGTTTCTTTAATTTCAACTTTGATCGAAGGCTTACAAAATGGACAATCAAGCTAATATTATGCAATGGAATTGTCAAAGCTTAATAAGTAAAAAAAGCGAGTTAATTTTTCTTGTGAATAAATATAATCCTTTTGTTTTTGTATTATCAGAGACATGGCTTAAATGTCATCTAAATTTTAAAGTCAGTGGATATACTACCTTACGAGAAGATAGACCAGATGGCTATGGAGGCGTAGCCATACTCATTAAAGAATCACTTTCTTTCACACCTATTCCTCTGCCCTCTCACCATAAAGATATTTCAATAATTGCTGTTAGGGTTTTTAACAAATGCATTGTGTCTATATATATTTCCCATCCATCTATTCCTGCTTTAAATGAACTTCGTTTAATTCTAAATAATTTGCCCAAACCTTTTCTAGTACTAGGTGATTTCAATTGCCATCATCAATCGTGGGGCAGTTCTAATACAAACAATTATGGGGATGAATTATTAGACATCATTGATTGTCATAATATTTGTATCTTAAACACTGGTGAAGCTACACGTGTAACAAAACCAAATCAAAATAAAAGTGCTGTTGATCTGTCATTATGTTCTCCTAGTCTTGCATCTTCTCTTTCTTGGCAGATACTTTCTTCATCATATGGTAGTGATCATTATCCTATTATTATAACTTTTCCTTTCTCTAAACCTTCAAACCCCTGTCGAATCTCCCATCTCAAACATAGGCTTCCAAATAAAGACAGTAAAGACTGGGAAAAATTCACAACTTCAGTTCAGTCAAAATTATATTTGCTCCCTAACATCAACTCTAGTTCTGAGCCTGAAAGAGCTGAAGCTTTGAGTAATCTTTTTATAGATGCAGCTAATGAAGTCTTCCCTAAAAAAGTTTACCCCAATAAAATTCCATCTCCTCCGTGGTGGGACAATGAGTGTACGGAAGCTGTGAAACAAAGAAAAGCTGCTGAGAAAATATATAAACAAAATATGACTGAATCTAATTATGATAAAATGTCAGAGTTGATAACAAAAACTAAAAAACTTTTTAAACAAAAAAAATTTGAAGGGTGGCGTAGGTTCTGTACCTCTATCTCCCCTAACACTCCTCCAACATTAGTTTGGCAAAACATTAAAAGATTCAAATCGGCTGTCAATAACAACTCTTCATCAATGATACCACCACAGCTAATAAACCCTTTCTTAGATAAATTAGCTCCTCCCTGGGTTTCGAACAATATCTCCATCTCTTCTTCCTTAACTGACTCTGATATTAGTGCTCCGTTTAGTTTATATGAATTAAAAGGTATCATCCAAAATACGAAAAACTCTGCCCCTGGGAGCGACGGTATCCCATATGCTTTTCTTTCCAACGTTTGCAATAACACATTACAATATTATTTAGATTTAATAAACTCGTCAATGATCTCAGGTAATATCCCCTCATCTTGGAAACGTCAAATAGTGTTGCCAATCTTAAAACCAAATAAAATTCCTTCTGAAGCTTCTTCATATCGACCCATTGCTATGTCTTCGGTTTTACTCAAATTAGCGGAGCATTTAATCAAAAACCGTATAGATTGGTTTCTAGAAAGTAAAGGCATTTTAGCCAATACTCAGTATGGCTTTAGAAAAGGTAGAAGTACACTCGATAATATTGCTATCTTCACTACAGATATTCGTATAGCTTTCTCTAATAACGATTCGGTGACAGCTGTTTTTGTAGACTTGTCTTCTGCGTATGATAATGTCTTATTAGATATTCTCAAAATTAAACTATTATCTTTAGGTATACCTTCCCATTTCATAAATTTTATTCTCAACGTTTTAACAGAACGCAAAATAGAAATATATTACGACAATATTATTTATTCTCGGACTGTTTCAAAAGGCCTTCCGCAGGGGTCAGTCCTTAGTCCTATTCTGTATAATGTTTATACATACGATTTAGAAGATAATATTTGCTCAAATAAATATATCAAAATACTTCAATACGCCGATGACCTTTTATTGTATTACATTAGTCATTCCATTGAGGATTCGCTTCTTAAATTAACATCTGCTTTATCTAATTTAAAATATTGGATGGATTCTAATGGGTTACAACTGTCTGCTTCTAAAAGTGCTGTCGTAGTATATACTCGTAAAAATAAACTTCCTCCTATCTCCCTAAAGTATGATAATGCTGCTATTCCCGTTAAAGATCACGCGAAATTTTTAGGCATAGTTTTAGATTCGAAACTTTCAGGCACCCGCCATTGTGTATATGTTGCTGATAAATGTGAACGCTTATTAAATATGATAAGATGCCTTTCAGGCGTTTGGTGGGGAGCTCATCCATATTGTTTAAAGTTGGTTTACAACGCCCTTATTAGAAGTGTTTTAGATTACGGTACATTTTTGCTAGAACCAGGTAATGTTACAGCCCTTAGGAAGCTAGACAAAATTCAACATAAAGCTCTGAGGATAATATTGGGAGCCATGAAGTCGAGCCCAATAAACGCTTTACAAATAGAATGCTGTGAACCCCCCCTTCAATTAAGACGGCAATATATTTGTGACAAATTCTTTTTTCGTACTATTCAGTGTTCAAATCATCCACTTCTTTCTAAGATTAAGGCACTTTATGAATTATTTTCTACTTCAAGCTATTGGACACATAAAACTCCACCATGTCTCATTGTTAGTTATAAGAAATTCATCTCCCTTTCTTCTCCTACTTATGTATCAAATTACCTTCCTATTTTTAATGTCGATTTTAAATCGTTAATTTTTCTTCCTAATATTCATTATGACATAGTTGAAAAATCAGATTTAGACGCTAAATTAAACTTTGAAATCGCGATTGACAGCAAATTCAATGACTATCATCACATATTTTGTGATGCTTCCAAACATTCGACATCTACCTGCGTTGGAGTCGGTATTTATCATTCTCAGTATAAAATAGTTCAGAAAGTAAAACTCCCTCCAGAATCATCCGTGTATTCAGGAGAATGTTTTGGTATATTGAAAGCCTTAGAATACAGTAAAATCATGAAACTTAAATCTGTTATAATATTTTCAGACTCAAAGAGTGCTTTACAGTCTTTAGAAAAATTTCCGTTTAAATTAAAATGTTATTCTCCCGTTATTTTTGACATCAGACAAATGATACAAAAATGTATTGAAAACGAAGTTCATGTAGAATTTGCCTGGGTTCCAGCTCATGTTGGTATAAAGGGTAATATTATAGCTGATAGGCTTGCTAAAGAGGCAGTATCATGTGGAGATGTTTTTCCTTTTCAAAACTATTGTTCAGATTTATTAGCAATTCCAAAAGTAATATTACGCGAGAAATGGGAGCAAATGTGGGAAATCAGTAAATTGACAAAAGCTAAATTTTATGCTCAGATACAAAATCATATTCCTTTGAAACCTTGGTTCTTCTTAATGAAGTGTGGCAAGCTAGAAACTTCTATGATTACACGTATGAGACTTGGTCATTCTTCTGCGCCTTCTCATTTAGCTAAACTCCATATAATCAACGATCCTAGGTGTGACTGTGGATCAGATGAAGGAACAGTTAATCATATTATTTTCTCCTGTCCTAAATTCCAAAGATCCTCCCTCTGGCAAGACCTAACATCCCTTCGTGTTCCATTCCCGACTAACATAGCTACACTATTACATACTTATGATCAAGCAATATATAAATGTATCATATCATATCTCATACTCAATAATATAAAATTGTAAACAACGATAATATATATATATATATATATATATATATATATAGTATATTTAAGATTATAAATACCATACATTCCTGATCCCATCCTTCCTTATCCGATTTCTTTCCTATTCGTTTCCCAAATTTTTTACTTGACATTGGCAAAATGCACAAGCCGTGCCTGCCATATTATGAGGAAAAAAAAAAAAAAAAAAAGGAGAAAAAATCCATTTCGGAGATAAATAAGTATTAATAAATTAAATAGTTATTTTGGTTCAAAAAACAGTTATTAAAAATGGACCTATTGAAAACTCCTTCCGTACAATCTTTATTAGACTCTGACTTGGAATCTGTTGAGAGTCTTCAATATTTAGATATTGAAGAGGTAAACGGTATACACCCACTATTCAATATAACTATACCGTAATATTTATATTTAATAATATTCTTTTGTTCACATAGCTAGATGAGGTTGAATATGCTTTGCCTCCAAGTTATGCGCCTACGCTAGCCGAAGTTTTGTCAACAGATGAAGAAGAAGGTGGTATTTCAGAAGCTATTAAAAATAAAGAACTCTTTTCCTGTTCAACACTTCAAGTGGATTTTCTACAAGCTGTTTCCCAACAACTAACACATGCTCAAGTATGTTATGATAAGTTTTTAATATAAAGTATTATAAATAGAACATAATTTCAGTTTAAAATCTCTGCCAATCTGATCGAATTATAAGTATGTTTATACTATGTATCATATATTGAGTGTACAAGTTTATATACCATATCAATTTGTTATTTCTGTCCTCACAATATGCATCTCATCGTCCTTCAGATATTTGTCAACCGTTAATCGATAGTTTGAATAAAAAATGTCATCTTGGATACCTAGAATCGGTGGATACATAGGATGGTTTACAAATAAACTAACAAATGAAAGTTGTGAATTGAAAACTATGTATGAGAAAAATTTGCTACAAGATGGAGGAAAAACATTTTATGTTTATATTAGACAACAAATGAAGATTGGTATACTAAATACACAACACAACTGTCTAGACCAAATTGTAACCTAACCGAAAGAGATATCTGAGACTTACAGATTTGTTTTCCAGTGTATTCAAAGCAGAACCACATGATAAATTATGAACCAATGTTTTTGAGTCAAAGAATCTATGCAAGAAATTATTCACTTCACACAGCCTCAACTTGGGCATCAAAAATGCTCAAGTTCAAACTATCATAAGGATCATTAAAGCAAATAATTCATCAGGACTCAACAAATTACTAGTGTCTGTTAAGAAATGTGATCTATCAGAGCTTTTGCATTTATAATGCAAACCTCATATGAAACTGGTGTTCTGCCAGAGTCTTTGAAAACAGTGATCCCAGTGCTTAAAAAAGGAAGCAAATTAGAACCCTCAAACTATAGACTAATTAGTTTGACTTGTATGCAAAATCATGAAATCAATAATAGTCAAACACATTAGAAAATTACTTAGTAATCAACAGCATGGTATTGAACCTACTGTCATTCTTATCATCATGAATAAGTAGTGAGAATGTTCAGGAGTCTTGGTATTATATCTTATATCTTGATTATAAAAAGGCCTTTGATAAGGTTTCTATTGGTATACTAGTGCAAAAATTCGAGATTGGTAGCAAATGATCTAAATTATTGAAATGGAGAGAAATACAAAGTGGTGTACCCCAGGGATCCGTACTTGGGCCAATATTGTACATTCTTGACACTTTTGACCTACCTTATCTTTAAAGAGCAATGTATAGTATGTTTCATGACTTTTGGAAATCTACTCATTTATTATGATCTCTGAGCTGACAGACTTAACTTGGACAGCTTAGTGATCAAAGAAGTGGCTTATTAAAATTGGCATAGATAAATGCACCATTATTCTATCTTAGTCCACTGTCGAATCTTTCGCAACCACTTTTATCTTCTATCTATGCATCACTTCCTTATTAGTTCTACACATAGGTAATCCAAATCCTCATTATTCTACTGATGTTGAGGACTAAAGGCTGAAAAATGACAAAGTACACATTGATTTACCTAAAGCTTTAAATCTCAAATGGGATCACCATGTCTCTACTGTTACTATGAGGCCAGCAGTTTCATATAAAGGTATATGATAAGGATCAGGAAACCGTTTGGTAAATACAGGTTGCAACTGTCTGTCTGTCTTTAATAATATTAATAAAATAAAGTTTTGGTTAATTTGAGATAGGGAAAGAAATTAAACACATAATAATAGTTTTGTTTCTGCCTGGCCACCCCAACACGCTAGCTACGCGTGTCTTCAAATCTTTAAATGGAAAAAAGTCTACATCTAGCTACAACTGTCTATTTATTAAAAAAAGGAGGTTCTTAGTTTGACTTGTATGTATGTATATATGTTTGTGCGTGATTAACCGATTTTGACGCGGTTTTCAGCATAGTATTTGTCAGACTTATTTCGATGAAAATAATTGTTAAATTTTAAATAGCCAAAATAGTGTCCAATACCCTATTTGTAATTATACCTACCTAGGTTAATTAGGTAGCAGACTTTTGTTACTCTCTTAAGTCTGGTTTTCTGTGCCATCTTTCACCAAATTTTACCTCTCGTTTCACAAAAAAAACGGTGGGAACCTCGTAAGAAAATGTGCAGTCTCTCTTATGAGTTAGCACATAAATCCAAGCGAAGGAGGCCAACGAAACGAATTTTCATTACACCTCACAAATAAATGACAAGTGACATTAAAATACTAACGATTCGGCTCGTACTGGTGTGCTGTATATGTTTTTATAATAAAGCACTGTAAAATTCTCCCGCCTCCTTCGACAATTTCCATTCGGATTGATTGCGTTTGCCATTAATCTTACAATCTATAGATATTATTTTCATATAAACTTGTAAATTGTACGTTACAGGAACGATCATCGGCTGGAACAGCAACTTCACTAAGCGTAGGAACTGGGGGAAAATTGACAGTGGGGACAGCACATGGACAACTTCTATCATTCTTTGATCAGACGTTACGATGGGTCTGTGATTCTAATGTAGATAAAGGTGCAGTTTCATGTTTAGCATACAACCAGGACAGTACGCGCCTGTTAGCGGGATATGCACAAGGTTTAATATGTCAATACGAAAGTATAAGAGGCATATTATTAAGGCGCGTCACATTAGGTGGTGACATATGGGGTATCCTGAGAGTGACATGGGCAGGTACATCAGGCTTGGCACTAGATACTGGTGGTTCCGTTTGGTTGATTAAGTTCTCTAGACCACTGGGAGTACGAGCTGCACGCACTTCGTGTCTATTCTCTGGAGCTCGAGGAGAAGTTGTAGCAATGACAGCACAAGATGCACGTGTATTAGCATTAGCGACCTTATCTCGAGTAATAATTGTGGCTGGTGGAAGAGCAGCAGGTGTACGTCTCGGAGGGCCACCTGACACTCTTCCTGTACTAGAATGGTGCGAAACTGACGATAGAATATTAGTTTGTGGTCGAGCTAAGACATTGCAGTGGTTGTCAGTGACAGTAACTGGAACATCAATATCATTACGATCGTTACAACGTGTGGAGCTGAAAACTACACCTCTATGGTTGGGTTGGCTCGGCGGTAATTTGGCTATTTTTGATGCCAATGAAAACATAAGATTATGGGGAGAGGATTATGACAAGCCTCTTGATTTATCACACGTTGAACCAGTTTATGCATCTGCTTTCTTCAAGGTAAATATATATTTTTTTAATCGTAATAGGTCATAATGAAAGTTTTTGAAAAGCTGAAAGTGCTAATATTTCTTTTTATATTTTGTATTCGTTTTCGAAATAATCTCTGTTCCTTTCAAAGCACCGCCATATGCATCGGAACCGTTTACTGCACATCTTGAGTGTATCCTTTATTTTTCGAAATAAATTTATCTAAGACTTTTAGATCATCGTCTTATGCCATTACCTAGCGGCGCAGCACTCATATTATCTTCAGTAGTCGTCAAAGAGAGAAGTCCTTTATTCGAATCACTGCACATTCCGTAATGTAACGAGATGAGTCTTCATCGTGGAACGCGAAGTCTATTATAAGATTGTTATTCAGTAAGGCTGCAACAAAAATTGAGCGAAATTTTGCACTAGTCAAATCCATTTACGATGCATGGTATACTATACACTAGACTAGACACTTAATAAAATTGACACCAATGGGGATGACGACTGGGTAAAAAAAATGCAATTCTATTTAGTCCGTCAGTCAGATAATAGAAAAATATTAGATACGTTTTTTTTTTTACTTCAATTTAACAAGAAATAGCTTAGATAACAGGCATTAAAGTTGAGGAGTGGGGGCTCGCTACGTCACAGTTTAGTAAAAACGTACCATAACGTGACGTCATGAGAAATTTCAACTCCATGTAACGCCGTAATTTTATGATTACGGAAAAAATAAATACGTGTTTAATATTTTTAACACTCTACACTTTAATGACAACTAATCATCCCTATTTATCAAAACGCACGATATATGAAATCATTATACAGTTACAGGTTTCACCTGTAATGAAATTTCACCACCTCCATTCCTTACTTGCTTATTCAGAAAACTTTCAGTGTGACCTCTTTGATTATATGAATATCGACTTTCTAATAAAACGCATCTGAATAGAATTTTAACAGTATTGTTATATTTTGTAGATAATGAGATGAGAACTCATATAAAAAGATTATTTTACCCAGTTATTAGTATCTTAATACTCGTTAAATGTTGAATGCTTAAATATTTATGACTTATCTTGAAGAAATGAACTTCTATAGCATCTAAACATATAGTTCAGAACTTTTTTTCGTTACCTAATAGATTGGTCTAGATACAACTCCCCAAAGGCAGGATGACGACTTATGAAAGTCCACTGTCCATGGAGTTATTCTACCATCCCTAGTCACCTTATTAGCAACACCTTTTTAACCGTGGCTATGCCGGGCTAACGGCGGTACAAAACATTTAAAAAATATTTTTTTATCTGTTATATTATTCATAGGGCTTATTTACTGATGGCAGAGTATCACGCGCCATGTGCAAAGCTGGAGTTAGTGCCCTAGGAGGGGTTTGTGTTGTGGAAGGCACATTGTCGTTGCTAGGCAGGCGCGGTATAGTGCGAGTCAGACCGCGAGACCTTATCACTAGAACTAAGACTTTGCTGTCATCTGGTCATCATTTACAAGTTCTACGTATACTGTGTAGCTGCCATGGGACTGAAGCAAAATCACTGGCTAATCAACTCATAGTGAATATATCTGAAAGACCACATTTACTGTCGAACAGAAATATGGCGGAGCAAATTATAAAACTTTGTTTGAAATTCAATTTGAGGTAAGCATTTTTAATTAAATAGTAAGTGCTTTAATAGTAAGACAGTAGTGAAGCCGTTTGAGATTCGTGTGTTTGTGAGCAAAAACAAAAGTATATAATGATTATCCCAAAAGGACAATGTCCAGCCCCCGTACATTTTTCGCCTAAGAACCTCTAAGCATGTACTATCACTTTTCGTGTTCTAAAGTATCTATATTTACGTCTAAATACATGTTTAAGTAACGGACACTTCTAAGAAATGTATAAATCAAAAAATATATTTTGGACTTGAGGTTATAATTTTAACAATTGTAGCGTGCGGTTAGATTCTTTTTAATGTTTGTTTTACTTGCTTTTTGTAGGGAAATGTATGTCTACTTTGCTTTAAATGTTGATTGTTGTTGTTTGCTTTAAAAGGTTCTGTAGGTTCTGTATCGGGGGCATGTACTTACCAATCTTGGAGCAACCCAGTGTTGTATACACTGAAGGATCTGCTCATCTTCTAATACCATGCAACCAGAAGCTGAACCGCAATTAACACAAAATACTTCAACACACCCAGATTCCATGTTAATGTCCGTTAAATAAATGCCAAGTCGTCGTCTATAGTAGGTCGGTATGCCGTAAATCACTGCCGGAGGTCGCTATTATAAGACGAAATCAGTCCTTAGTTCAAGCCAAGTCGTTATTTTATAACTAATATTCACAAGACACAAGAAATCGTACAAACAAACTCAAGCGACGTAAACACAACGCGAGTATGAAAGCGATTGTCAAACAAAACTTCAAAAGTTCAAAATTGTCAAACGTATGTAAAAGAGCGATTCCAGCCGCTTAAAAATCTACAAACGTTTTGAGTCTCGTTTTAATGTCAAGCGCTTTAAGTGTTCGTTGGTTGATTATACATCAAATTGTGCATAGATCCTGATTTGTCAACTTATTAAAATATGGTGGGAGCGTTTATTGAAGTTTATCAAATGTATTGATATTACTTTTTAAAGTAATTACAAAAATGGGCAGTGTCCGTTTGATTTTAAAAGCTGATATATTAATCATAAAATATGATAAGAATTATGATATACAAGATATTCTTAGAGGTTCATAGGCTAATTTGGACATTGTCTATTAATATGATTAATAAAATTTCCCAAACATAACTGCTCGGTAATCAAAAATGTATATGAAAAGCATTACAGTTACATTCATTCAGCTCATTATAGGGCTTGTGTAGCTACAATCACTGAACTTTCAACTACTTTTGGACTAAATAATTAAGACTAAGAAATAATGTGTTAAATAATTTATCTGAGAGTCCATTTATAGCTAAAACGACATTTTTTTTAAATTTATCGGTGGAGAATAAAGTTACACTGAAATTCACCATTTCTTATCACTACAATGTTTTAATAGTATTTGCTTTCTCTGTCCCTATATCTTTATGTATGCTTAAATCTTTAAAACTACGCAACGGATTTTGATGCGGTTTTTTTTTCATAGATAGAGTGATTCAAAAGGAAGGTTTTAAGTATAATACAGGGCGAACGCGGGCCCTGTATTACGGAGGCGAAGCCGCTGGCGGAAAGCTAGTTGTAGTTATACCTTTTCACAAAAAAAAAATGAAACCACACAATAAAGTAATATCATCATTTTTAATAGAAAAAATATGTAGTACCTACTTAAATGTATATTGTTTTATAACAGTACAGAATTAATTAGTTTTAATATTTAGTTATATACAAATTAAAATAATTAAACAAATTAAATATTATTTTGCCAGACAGACCAAACAAAGACGCTAATTTTGGTTCATTTTAGTTTTCACCAAAAAAAAAAATACATTGTTATTTTTTAATTTACCCACCCACTCGCTACGTCAAAGATAATATACTAAACCATTTAGACTATGTATTAAAACGACTTATTTAAAAAGTACTTTTGATACATAGACGAAGGCCACTGTCATTCTGTCGACAATTATGTCTTAGTGGTATTCACTTCACGGTATCTGGATATTATATAATCTTAGAGTACCTAAGTGAATATTTTTTAAACTTTTAACATTATGAAAACCTGTTACAACTTTTTTAAAATTAAAATTTATATGAATCGGACAATTCTTAAATCAAATCAAAGGCTTTTTTTACAATAAAGATTTCTATGACTATAAAGGTATGGAGTTTTTCATTTTATGGTATCACATACAAACACGTATAAGGACTGTCAAAACTGTCCTGAAAGCTATCCCTAAGAATTGTTAATCAATGCTTTTCTTCGAATATGCTAAAATAAAAAAATAAATTAGGTACATTACATTGAATTATTTATTTTATTTATTTATACTTTTTTACAAATTATAAAAGTATAAATGACGGACTTTATGCAATGGGGGCATTCTCTACCAGACAATCGGAGAGTTGTAGCAGAGAGCTTAAAAAAAAGGCAGTGCAACAATGAAACAGAGAGACAATAAAAAATTATATGTGGAACTTTACAAATAGAAAGACGAACTCCTATATACTTATTATTCGTATTTATGGGATATAATATTTATCCTTAAAATAACTTATTTCATAAACAAGACACTAGTGCAATATTTAATGTTGATTTTAGTCAAGAACTATGGACGACGTTATGGGAGCATTGTTCAAATGAAAACGCATTTGTGGAGGCATTGGGTGATGCGGCAGTTCGTGGAGACTTCACTACGAATCCTCCATCTCCAGATGCAACACAGGTATAGTGAACAGCACGTCGTACTAAACAAAACCGGCAAAAAAAATCACTTGAGAAAATTTGACATATTGTGATAAATTGACGTGCAGCCGCGTATACGTTGAGGTAAACAGTTGAAACAACTTAATCCTCATTTAGTATCTTATCTAAAAAGAAAATTCAATTATAATATTTGTTAAATAAATTCTTGCGGCTGTTTCGATAGATTGCCTTTTATTATTGATGAAAATAAAAAATTCAATCCCATCTCGGGTACCTGCCTGCAGGCCTATTCACTAACTTACCTGACAACCTAAAATCACCGAAAAGTGAGCAATTCCAATGTGTTAAAATCACTTATTCGTATTTTATGTCAATGGTTCGCAATTTTGAAATATCGATATCGGCTATCTCCACTGAACTCCATTTTGACACTTGATCTTGTATCGATAAACTGTTATTTCGTTAGCATTAGTGAGCATGAAAGTGAACTTCAATTAGCGATTTCATGTAAATTAAAAAAATTATATAGCAACTAGCTAGGATTAGTGACTTATTAAAAATGAGTTAGAGAATACTATAACCGCGCGATGACCGCTCGCCCACAGAGCTCTGTGAACAGTTTATTTTTATTGTCATCAGAAGTTGCCAGAGTTACAGAATAAAAGGATTTAGTTTTAGTTATGTTGTGCAAATATATAACTGCACATACTTACACAACATAACTATAACGAAATCTTAGCTTGTTGTAGTATATAATTTGAGAAATGGTTAACAGGCTCTAATAGAAAGGCTTGCGGAATTCGAGCCGGGCCTGGTGGAGCGTGTTGTCGCGTCGCTGCCACTTACTGCCCTCGATCCACACCGTGCTAGCGTCTTCACCAGGGAGAAGAAATTGTGGCGGGGTGTTGGGGCAATAGCCGCCGCTTTGGGTGACTATGCTTTTTATAAATCAACGTATATATTGTAGATTGAAATTGAATCAGAATATATCTTGCAAGTCCTTTCGAGATTAGCAGTAGCGTTCTTCTCGACATCAGAGATCTTCCTAATTATAGTAGTAGTAGTGTATTGTAAAGCTACGTTATTGGACCAGTAATTCCTAATTCTTGTTGTCAAATCTTTAATAATAGGGATGACGACTAATTATTGTTTGTTTGTCCATCGGGTAGATTATTGAAGAATATTAAACACGTATTTTTTTATTTTTTGTTTGAGTTGCAATGTCGCATGACGTCACGTTTTTTGTACATTTGCTACAATACTGTGACGTAGCGAGCCCCCACTCCTCAACTTTAATGCCCATTATCTAAGCCATTTCTTGATTAAATTGAAGCAAAAAAAATACGTATCTAATATTTTACTATTATCTGATTGACCTACTAAATAGAATTTCTTTTTTTTTACCCAGTCGCCATGCCTTTTGAAAAGCTTATTCTGTCAATTGTTTTCTTTCTAATTGACAACAGTAGCCAGATTTTTATTTTTATATAAAAGTCACATTAATCGTTAAACAATATACACATATGCACGCAAGCCGTGTTCGTTTGGTTAAATTAAATTGCCATGTTTAATGCGCGCGGCATTCCGACCAACTTCAACAGTAATAAGAGTATTTACGACCTTAACGTTAAAGTATATTTCAAGTGTGTTCGATACTCGTATTCTGTAGGTTCTACATTGGTATCTTCTATCACAGTAATATTAGTAACAAATACGAATAAATAGGAACAAATGGTAGAATTCATGCATACAGAGGCTGCTTTTACGAGGCTGGTAAGCAAACTTACAAGTCGCAAGTAATGGCAGTGCAAGCAAGGCGATTATTTCTGTAATGTATGGAATGTCAGTAATCAGAATAAAAATACTTACAATGAGTTATTGTGTTATTATACTTGAATGTTATTTTAAATTTCTAACCTACTGATATTTTATCTTTAAATAAGAGTAAAGAGAATTTTTATAAGTGCATAAAATATAAATTAAAAATATATTTAAAGAATATTGTATGGTCTTAATGTTAATACAGACATTCTTATAATAAGTTAAAATCGTATAATAATATTTAATTTTCAAAATTTCCCATGTAAACGCTGACTTCTGCCATGGCGTCGCTATGACTTCAAGCCCTTGACTACCCTCTAAACTAATATCGTTCTATGTACGCATAAGGTTTAATTCTCTTAGTTCTGATATGAGTAAGAAGGGCGAGACATCACGCGCTGTTTGCATTGACGTGACGAGTATAAAATATTTGTTTTTTCATTATTAATTTAAGCAATATTATAAATACAATAAGCATAAAAGTATGGCTATCGGTAAAAGTATATTAAATACTACACAGATTTTTTTTATTTATTTTCGTTCACTGTCTACACCCGTGTTTAATGGCAATGTTTCGCATGTGATTTGTGTCGCTCTGTTATTAGCTCTACGAAATAGCTGTGTCCTTGTCAGTACTCTTTTGGAGGGCAACTGCGAAAAACGTCGTTAGACAGACGCACAAGTTTCGCATTCGCAGATATTTCGCTTTCGCAAGTGAATGCGACTGTGTACTAACGGCGATAGTAATAAGGATGTGTAACGGTACGTTCTTGATTTCGCCATGACAACCCTTCCGGTTTTCTTTCAAGTTTAAAAGTAAATTAGTTTTCAAAACTCAATAAACAACTCGTGTTCTATTTGTAATTTTTCGTATTTGTATTGATATCTAAGTTTCGAACTTTTCAAATTTCATATTTTTAATATGCTAGTTAAAAGAAACGGAAATGACTGTCATCCATTCGTTTCCTGCAAAAATCAACTTTTGCTCGAGTCGCCATCTAGTGGAGGTGCTTTTTTAGTGCTTTCGTTTTTTTTAATACATCCTCATTGCGTTCTGATAGGTGGCAGTAGCGGCGCCATGCGCGAGTTAGCGCCGCACGTGCGTGCTGGGTGCGGGGGCGCGGGCGGAGCGGGGTGCGGGTGCGCGGGGGACGCGCTCGTGCTGGCGGCGGCGGACGCGCTCGCTGGCCGCGGCGCAGCCGGCCGCCCGCTGCCGGACCACGCGAGACCGTCCGCCAGGCACGACGCTCTACACGCACTACTAGACCCCGATGTCAGTATTTGAAAACTAATTAGAATAGTACTAGTGACACAAAACTATGGGCCATCCTTAATTACGTCACACGTTAGGAGGAGGAGGGGTCGACTAAGTGTGACATTAGAACAATATTAGTAGGATTTATATAGATATACTAGCTTTCGCCAGCGGCTTCGCCCGCGTGGACCCTAGGGAAATGTTAAGTGGGATAAAAAGTATCTTATTATCTAAGTCAGCTAATACCCTATCCGTATACCAAATTTCATTAAAATCCGTTCAGTAGTTTCGGCGTGATTGACCGACAAACTTCTAAACATCCAAACAAAGAAACTTTCACATTTATAATATTAACAGGATAAATTAGTCTCGCAAATTTCTTGAAACCTTTTCTTATTAACACCCATGTGACGTCATTCGAAAAAAGAAAGTATCGATAGCACAAATCATACACTTCACTATTTATTAATAATTGAAACATTTATAAATAATATCCAAAATATTGTTTTAATTATTTATTAACTTTTGGTTTGTTAATTTATTGCAAGAATTTTCGTAAAAATAATATTTATATGTTAATATTCAGGTATATGAAAAAAAATATGTGTTAATATAAAATTTACTTTCTTTATACGATCGTCAGAGGAGGGAACTATTTTTTTAAAACATCGCCAAAAATAATTTTGTAATGAGAGACATTAGCTAAATCATTTATTTTGAATAAAAAGGTTTACTGATTGTGGAAATCATAATAGCAGTTGCTTTTTAGTCAACTATAACAAGTAACAACAAAACAATTACAATCAAAAACGACAAAAACATTACAAAAATATGTTAGATCTCAATACAATTCAGCTCAATAAGTGTACTCAACGTTGACCAGTGTTTATTTGTTAATAATACTCATTATTGAACACAATTAAGTCACCAATATGGCGCATTAGCAATTTGCGGGGATTATAATCAATAGTATCTTGGCGACACTGGCTCCGACAACGTCGCTTCACTATACGCAGATGTATCTCAACACTAGTAGAGCGTCGCTCGGATTGCGAAAGGATGTGGAATCATGAATTATTTGATTGAAACGATTTCATTGATTCAATCCCTATTAAAGAGACGTTGGATTAGATTTTAGTAATTATGGATATGAAATTTATTTGTGTTTTAATATGAAAATTTAAATTAATATTCCCAGCCTACCTCATATATATAAGGTCCAACTATATTCCATTGTAATAGTTTTTCACGCAATTGTTATTTCCAAATGATTAAAAACCATTACAATGGAAAATAGTTGAATCCGTAGGTTAAGTAACTACTTTACTCATTATCAATGTATATATAACGAATAAAATTCGTCACACATTTTTTTTTTCGTTTTAACATAACATAACGAAGTAGGTTAAAAATAACCCCCGGCAGGTTCGATGTGAGGGCCGGTCGCCATTACACGTATTGGTGATGCACGACGCGAGTGCGGCAGTGAGACTACTAGAGCAGAGCGCTCGCGAACCCCCATTCGCGGGACCGCTCGCCAAACAGAATCGACTGCGAGTAGCGCGAGCACTACTAGCATTGGCACCAGAATTGCAGGCGAGTTGTGTTATTTTCCTAATTACTAAAAATTTTATTATTTGTAGTTATTTAATTTTACCTTTGTATTGTGGTTAAAGGTTTTCGAATATTTAATCACATTCAAACATACAGATCTTTGTCAGTGTTAACAATATAGAGTATTCTAGAATTTTATAACAAAATTTTGAAGTAAAGTTGTAGATCATTAAAACTAAACGACAATTTTTTTTATTGATTTTACAGGAAAATAAGGCGCGCACTGAAATATTGGAATTCGTATCGGGACAAATCAGCAGTGGAGCGCTTCCTTCCGACCATGAAGTTTTGAAAGCTACACAGGAGCTCGCGGCGGCCACTGACGGTGAGCGCGCCGACCGCGCGTGGCTCACGCTTATCGCCCGCGACCGACAGCACCCCGACCGACTGCAGGAACAACGAGACCTGGCGGCCCACCGGCCCCGCGTCGCGTGGAAAATAGACTCCACCCTCAATCGACACGACGATGCGCTGCACAATTTTTTCAGAATAGATAACCCCTCCCCAACCGATGTGGACGAACTCTTCGAGTATATTCAATCAAAAATCGAAGCGAACGGAATCGAGATCGATCTAAAACCTCACCTTCCGGCGTTGATAGAGCTCCGACCGGGAGCGGCGGCCGCGGTCCTGCCCGACCGTTATTCGAACGAAGTGGAGGCTCTTTTGGAAAAGACGACTAGTGAAAAGTCGTTGGAGTTCGCCGAGAACCTGCTCGAAAAGGGGCAGCTCCGAGGGGACGCGGCGGCTGCATATTTTAAAGCGCTCTGCACGCTCCGGCCGACCGCCGCGGTAGGTTTTCTCGCGAAGTACCCGGGCGTCGTCCGACCGGAACGGGCCCTCGCGATCGTACGGGAGACCGGTGCGACGGACGCCGAAGCGGTCTGCTCGGAGGCCGCCGGCGACCCGAGCGGAGCTCTCGACTCTATCCTGCGACGTTTGGACGCGGGGAACGAGAAGGAAGTCGCGGCCGCCGTCGTGGAGGCGGCCGAGCTTTGCGCGAGAGTCGCCCCCGGCGCCCCGCCGGCGGTCGCCGAGGAGATGTGGACCCGTCTCCTGGGGAGGGCGCCGTCGGTGCCGCCCTCTGTGATCCTGGAGGCGGCGGCGTACGTGCCGGCGGAGACGTTGATAGCGCGCGCGGGAAAGTGTCCGCGTGGCGTGTCGGCGTTACTGAGTTGTGCGGCGAGCGGGCGGCGGGCGTGGTGGTGCGGCGCGCGGGTGGCGGGGCGGGAAGCGCACGAGGCGGTGGCGCGCGCGCTGGCGGCGGCGCGGCGCGGCTTGAGCGTGCGCGGGCGGTGCACGGGCTGCGGCCTGCGGCTGGCGGCGTGCCCGCCCGTCGTCACCACGCACTGCGCGCGCGCGCGACACCTCGACTGCGGACAGGAGATCACGTGCACGTGCGGCAGGCGGGTGCCCGACGTCGTGTGGTCGCCGCCGCAACGCACGCGCCGCTCCCTCTCGCCGCCGCGGGAACACGACCTGCAACTGGTCGCGCCGCCCCGTCCTGATCTCGAGGGCATCGTTTAGGAGACGGCTCCGTTCTGTGTGCGGTCATTATAACTGATTCTATATTCCGTCGAAGTTGCGTCCGTTAAAAAAAAATCATAAACGTTAGATATACATGTGGTGATGAACCTTAATCCCTAACTAGATTGTTCTCATTTAAAATGTTGAAAAGCTTGCCATTTTTAAGTTATCTTTAAATAGGACTTTTAAGTTATCTTTAATCGGGACGTTTTAAAATGATATTCCGTTTTCAGAGATCTCTGTGACGTCTGTGACTGCGACACAGACGACTAGCGAGTCCTCAGTGTCGTCGCTGGTCGTGTCGTGCCCTCGTCCAGCGACAACATGCGCGACTTAACCCGTTGCATGGGCTCTATGGCGTCACAAGAAAATTATGATAACTGTTATATTTCAAGATATTGAAATAATTATTGTACTACATGTAATGATTTTTTTTTCTATTATTTTACTATTATTGTAAGTATTATTTATTTTCTTTTGTTTTGTGCATTATGCATTATTATGGAAATACCAGGGATTTCTTTATATTACCGAGGATCGAATACCTAATTTAGTATTTGTTACAATTTATTTATTTGTAAGTAAGTTTAAAATAATTGAAACAAAAAAAAAGTAGTTTCCTATTCAAATAAGTCACAAAACGTAAATATGAAAATAAAACGTATTTAATATGTATTGTCATAGATTTGTCCGTAAGTTTCAGAAAATATCTTGAAGTATTTGGTGCAATGATTTAAAGAAAATAACCCTTATGAATAAGTAGAAAGCTATCAGTGTGATGCAATTTCCTTGAACCGACTGATACATGTGGTGCGATGATAAATTAATGGTAGATGGCTCAAATTAGCAAAATTGTACCTTACCTTTGCCACATACGTGTGTAGATAGTAAACGAAAATTAATTATGAAAATCAAATATTTTATATTCGTTATCACGTGATCGCTAACAGCGCGTGACGTCACACCCCTCTTACTCATATCAGAACTTAGAGAATTCAACCTTATACGATATTAGTTTCAGAGGGTCGTGACGCCATGACAGAAGTGGCGTTTCCACGGGAAATTTTGAAAGAAGAAAGTCTTAAGATTTAATAAAAATATAAAAAAGTCTACACTCCTATTGCATAGTTTAACAATTTACTGCATTTATTGACAGCGCATTCAACATACATTATGCAATACGTGAAAAATAGTGATAAGCAAATACAGTTGAAAAGTTAAGTGAAACAAACTAAATACATTAAATATTTATATTATGTATATAGTGGAAATTATTAATTAACAAACTAAAGTTTTCAAAAAAATATTGAAATGTTTTACTAAGTAAACCTTATTAAGGTAGCGATCCGTATATATAATGAAGTTAAGTATCGGGTTGGCACAAAAGTAATGAGACACTTGGTTTAAGTTTTTACTTTTTTATTATTATTACAATAAAAAAAGTTTAGTCAATGATGTAATTACCATTAGTATCTAAGACTTCTTGCCAACGATCCGGCAAAGTTTGGATGCCTCTTGCCCAGAACTCTGATGGCTGTGCCTCGAAAAAGTTGTTCAACTCCGCCTCTACGTCAGAGAAATCATTAAATTGTTTACCCCGCAAATGCTGTTTCAGGGCTCTAAACAAATGATAGTCTGATGGGGCGAGGTCTGGGGAATAAGGTGGGTGGGGTATCGTCTCCCAGCCCAAGTTCTCCAACTGCCGGCGAACCACAGATGCGACGTGAGGTCGAGCGTTATCGTGCAGTAAAACGACATTGACTCGTCTTCGTCGTTTTTCTTGATAGCGGCAGATAATTTGGTAAACTGGGTTGAATATTTGTCAGCGTTTATAGTTTCATTGTGTAATAGCTCATAAAACAGTATGCCTTGCGCATCCCAGAAACAGCAAAGCAGAATTTTTCTGCGGTTCTTTTGACTCGGCTTCGGTTGAGTTGGTGGCGTTTCTTCTCGAGGCAGCCAAAAAGCACGACATGTATCGTTCTCGTAATAAATCCATGATTCATCTCCAGTAACCAGATCTGACAAAAACTCTTTACGTCGGGGTCGCAGCAAAAGTGACTGACAGATAGCGACACGGACTGCACGACTGGCGTCTGTAAGGATGTGCGGTACCCACCGAGCCAAAACTTTTCGATAGCCAAACTCATGCAGATGGTGTTCCACGGCGTGGTGACTGCATTTAAGTGCTTCCGCTAATTCACGAGTGGTAGCATCCGGATTCAACTGCAGTTCGCGGCGCAAATCGTCATCATTCACTGCGGGTGGTCGCCCTGAGCGTGGCTGACTTTCAAGGCTCCTGTCTCCTGATTTAAAACGGTCAAACCATCGGGACACCGTCGCATGGCTTGTACTTCCAGCGCCTAATGCATTGTTGATATTGTCAGCCGCAGCCCGCGCACTGTGGCCTAACAAGTACTCGTATAAGTATAGTATTCGAACTTGTCGCTCGTCCATTTTTCTTCAAACTGACTAAACAAATCGCGAGCACGGCTTTATATACCCTACACCAGAAGTACCTAGAATGTTCTACAACATTCTAGAATATTATCGAAAAAATTGATTTTAAAAAGGAAATGTTATAGATTTTTCTAGTGTGTCTCATTACTTTTGTGCCAACCCAATATTTATAGCAGTGAGACTGTATGAAATTATATGACGGCAATTATATCTGCCTTGTATATTTAGATTTCAGAATCGTCCGTTTCTTCTATGTATATGCAACTGTCATAAAAAGTCCTAGATCTTGGTTGAAATCGAGTGAAAAACCAAATAAACACTTACAACTATTACAATTTGTGTATGCAAAAATGTAATATTTAAACTGTAAAATAAAATCATTTTTTTCACTATTAATTAAACATCCAGTAGTAACTAATAATTTAAAAAAATCATACAATTTTTCAATTCCATTAGAAATATTATTTTAATATAATGGAATAGTTATCTTCATAAATATTTAGAAAAAAAGCATCTTAAAACAGATTTTTTCCCCCTAATATTTCCTAAGACAATTATGGAGATCGGCATCATTATAAATGCAGAAAGAATAGGGTTATTGACAGCTTTTTAAAAATAATTTTAAAATAAAAATAAACATACATATAATAAACAACTTATCTTATTAAAATTTACAACTTTTTAGACCGTATGGAGTTCACAATCCAATTTCTTTTTAAATAATATGCTGTAGACACATTAGTATGAAGTAACATGGTTTAGAAGTCGTGACACGTAACTCGAAAAAATAATAATTACATTTTTCAAATATACGAAATCTGCCCTGCGATTCTGTAAAAATCCAAACCCGAATTCGAATTAACTCAGGGGTCCGAATTCACTTCAAAAAACGGCATCTGCTCAACCTTGAATTGGTAATATCGTTTCGTGGCATTAGTGAAGTGAGTTTCATAGGCTATTCCTATATCATTTCGATATCTGAGACACGCATAATCAATCAATTTTGTTTTGTATTTTTAAACAAAAAAATGGCATCAATAGAATTTCGAATCAATAGAACGCAAGGCTGGACCTAAAAAATAACCCTACAGCGCACACTGTGACACATATCGTACATTATTGCCGATATTTCATAACACAACGCTATTTTACGTCATCTATTAGAAAGTATATAAATATTGCTATTTTATTCCATTCCCACTAAAAGTAAGTTAGACTATACATAAACGCCCTTAACATATTTTGTGACATTATGAAAATATTTTTTTTAAATTTTTCACATGTAATTTTTCTGTACAATTTAGAGAAATCGTGCACTGTAAGGTTAAAAATTACTAATTCAGTAGTAGGCTGTTAATAACCCCATTCTTTTAATTAAACTTTTATTCTTCATGTATTCCTTAACATTAAGGGACCATCCATAAATAACGTCACACAAAATTCATGTTTCTCCCCCCCCCCCCCCCCCCCCCCTCATATCACCAGTTTGTCTATACAAATTCTACTAAATATTGTTCTATGTCACAGTTCGTCGACCCCCCCCCCCCCCCCCCTAACGTGCGACGTAATTTATGGATGGCCCCTAATTACGTTGTAGTACCACAGTGTATTTGTTTTGTTATGTGGTAGTTACACTTAAATATATCAATAAAACACGTTTATAGCTAAATTTCAACATAAAAAGTATACATATTAATTAATTTAGTAAACGTAGTTTTATTTCTTATCCATCTCATATGCCGGTTTCAAATTGTCGCCGTTTCTTGAGATAAATTTCTGACTTTTTATTATAATAAAAATGCTTTAGCTCTTGATAATAATTGGAAAGTAATTCAACAAAATAATTATAATATTTTTTTTTTTTATAAGTACCTACATAGAGTGATTCATAGTGCTTAGAATTTATTTCACCTTTCATAATTTTACCAAGGGCAATAGATATTTGACTAGGAAGCAAGTATAATTTAAATAAAACACCACATTATTAAGTAGATCTATATTAAAACTAATTCGACTTTGTAGGTCTCACATCAAACACACGCGATAAAGACGACCAAAACTACACTGTTTATTACTAGCTTGGAGGCTACATATTTCATGATTTTTTTTATTCGTAACATCACAACTGAGGATATATAAAATAATATAATGTTCAATTTAGTAATTCCTTTCGAATTATTATATATTTATGATAAACATAACATAATCTTACAAATTGTCCACCAGCAAAGAGAAATATTGTAACAAAGTAATAACTTTTTACGAAACCTAGAAAAACCTTCAAAAAGTAAGATTAAAAACTTTCGTTATGTTCAAGTTCTAATGTTTTAATGTCTTAACATTGAAGTTTAGGTAACGCAGTCTCATCAAAACGAGATACAATGTTTTTCCTTTAAGAATAAAATTAGTTCTAGCTAATGATCTACTCTACTATAAGGTTTAATATCAACAATAAAGGCTGAAACACAATTATGTGCCTTGATTGTTGCTTTTACGTGTTGTTTCTTATTTAGATACTAAATGTATGAAACCGTCATGCTGTCGTGAAACGACATAAAACGACGAGGAAATATATTTCTACCATAAGGTCTTAGAAATTATATAAAAACGCAGATTATGTCCGATAGTTAACGCGATATTTGTACTGTAGCCTCACAAGAATTATTATTATTACGATAGTTCCAACTTACTCTTCAAAGAAATTTAATAAAACCGTAGTCCCAGGTTTCTTTGAGCGCTTGCTACAATACAACTTTGATTGCACTTTGAACTGTATAATCTAACCAGTTAAAGTATAAACAAGAAAAATCATTATTACTGTTGATATATAATTTTACCACACAATAATTTGAAGAGCGTAGGCAAAAAAAACGATAACAAAATGTAATATAACTAACTACTCACAGTCCACATTGTATTCTCACAAGTAGTTTATAAAAATAATAATAACATCGATTAAGACACTCAATAACATAAATCTTTTGACGTAAAATAGAAAAATTAAAATATTTTTTTAGGAAAACAAAGTACTTAAACTATACATAAAATCCGTCTTATTTTAATCTTCCCAAAAATGTTTGTTTTGGGTAAATTAACAAATATAGGTAAATTCAAAGAAACAGTTGCCTAACATTTTATTAACACGTCAAAAGCTCTCTAGTGCTACAGTGCCCACGTTAAGGCTTTGCATACCCTTTCACACCGTGACATTTTGACTTGTGTATCCTTGCGGTTACACACGCACTTGCACATGAATCTTTATCCCCTGTCACGTGCTGGAAAATACCAGCGGTGGCGCGTGAGCTTGAACGCTTGACAATTAGTTCTTTCATAGAAATGACAGGAGCACGATAACGATAAATCTCAATGACAAAGTCATTAGTGCACTCGTACCCATAACTGACTACCACAGAAACGACAATAGTGACAAAAACATCAAATGAAATAAATCCCCAGTGGACGCATGCCTTTATTATATACATAAACTTAAGCGAATCATAATATTACTACAGTGACTGTTTTCCTGTACAGGTATTACAATGATTATCTCAACAAGATTTAGATATAGGCTAGGTATATGAGGAATATTCATAACTCGGTAAACTAAATATGCTTTTATTACGTAAATACCATGGTTTTAATAGATATGTAAACATTAGGACCGGCCGCGGTTCAGTGGCGGACTAACCCGATCAGAGGCCCTGGGCGGCATCAGGCCTGGATCTACAACTTTTTCCACCCGGGGCAGAAACTTGATATTGAGTTTACTAATTAAATAGTAGCGTGAAGTTCGTGCATATCTTTCAAACACCAAGCTGAAAGGCATTGCGATAGATTTTAAAATTAGACATTTAGCTCAAATTTAATTAAACATTTTGTCGTCACTTCCCAAATATAAGTGTGGCCAATCTGATTATATATCTATACTTTGTCTTTATTTTTGAACCAGTAACAATGACATAACAAGTCTTATTTATTCAGAAAGAACAAGTTTTCAATATTTTGTAAATAATTATTCATTATTTTCATTTTTTAGTAAAATGTTTAGATCTTCGCACATTACATATATTAACTTACAAGTAAAACGTAATAATATAGGTATTGCTTCCTGATCTCTATAGATGAGTTTTCAAAATTTCATTGAGTACTACCTCTCGATCCACAACAAGAAATACATGTGAAAGTAATATTGCATTAAAACAAGGTTTGTATAAATATATAAGAGCCTTTTACATGCCCATTAATAACTGAAATGATTAAAAACCGAGTACTTTAAAATGTAAAACGTATACTGGCTATGAACATATTTTATATTAAAATAAGAACTGACTACAATTTTCCTAAATTGGTTGTGTTCCTAAATTTTTAACTAATTACTAATTGCAGTACATACCTATATCATTATCAAAGAACATGCACATATCCATTCATAAAATAATTACTCAAACAAATTAAAACACTAGCGTCATCTATCGATAGGCACACTAATGAAACCGTGACATGCTCAATGCACTCTCAATTTTTATTTCATAAATCAGTAAACATAACTCATGCTTTACCATATAATAATATCTAGTCATACGTTAATGATATTTACGGTACATTTATTAAAACGAACTATGAAAAATGTATATCAAAATAAAACTATTAGTAACAGTGCGCCATACACATCATGAATGAAGCGAACTTTTGAAGGCAGATCCAACGAAAATAAGCTACAGCCGCTCCGCGTCCACCCCTATCTATCTATACCGCCTGTCCATGTAGACATTTGCAGTTTTACGAGTACACAAGCGATAAAGAATATAATATCTCGCTATCTAGTAAATATTTTCTTTCAGACTTATGCACAGCACCCGACCGAAAGGGAGTATACACCGGACAGTTGCCCAAAGGACAAATTAAGGGCAATAGGCAATTAGTGTACTGTAAAGGGTGGGCAATATAATGTTTGCCTAGGATGATTCAATAGCTAGATCGGGCCTTCGTGTGCATATTAAAAATAATTTCTACTTAGTTACTAATGTGCATGTAAGTGGCTCTTAAAATTTAGGGCTTACTGAATGCATAACCTTACATTACCTCAGATCAAGATTTTTTTTACAAAACAGCAAGCTTTACAAAACTACGAACAAAAGTTTAATTTTTTTGTTAATTTTATTATACCAAATGAGATTTGAATAAAATATAAAATTGACTTTAAAATTTTACATATCAATTAAAGATAACAATCTAGTGTAGTATCGCAAGCTTTATTAGCCGTTTGTTAAAAAAAAACACTTCCATCAAACAATAAAATGACCAATTCTTAAATTACTTTCATTTACTGTTTTAATATAAAACGAGTGCTAAAATTGATAATACTTGATTTAAGCCATTGTACGCACAGAGCAGATCGACGACAGAAGAGTAAACGCCACATTTAGACGTGTTTACTTATTTTAGATGAATAATGGTTTATATCGTGTACTCATTTTTATTTTTGCTCTTACTATAGACTGCTGAAAGCTCAATAAATTTTGATAATGTTTTAAACTGTTGTCATACCAGTACATGTAGCTTGACAAACTCGGGAAACGCTTTGTCTACTCCCAATGTCACTTTCTCGGGCGAGAGTGAGATATCGTATGGGCGCACTCGGGACAAGTTGCATTTGGGTGTAGACAAAACGTTTTCAAGTTCGTCGTGCTACGCGAGGTAGAAGAGAGAAACGCAATATATATATATAACAAGACTGAGCAAAACACTGAATTTTGGTAAAATCTAGAAGGGAATACCGATAATTAAAAAGAAAAAGTAGAAAAAACCTGGTTATACAGTTAGTTCTCGTTTTATAATAAAACTAGGATAAATTGAACTTAAGTGAGACGTTTACCTAACTTGCATTGCAATTAATTGAAAACTATTGAGAAATAAAATAAAGTATACCTATGTCAAACATTTAAATTTTATCATGGACAAATAAAAAAATCTTAAATTTTTGGTACATCCATTTTCCTAATGAATGTTAAAATATCTTTAAAATCTATTTATGTATACTACTCGGCATTGTCATATCGAATCCTGAAAGAAAAAGAAAAGAATTAATAATCACATATCTTGCATTTATCCGAAGTTTGTTTGAAAAAAAAAAAAGGTTGTTATGAATAAACATATCGTGGGCCAATCGGAAAAAAAGAGGCTGATCAAGATCTAGATTGGCAGCTCACGATCCGCCACTATTTAGTGATTTTAGTTCCATTACACGAATTTGAAGACGCTGTTGACGTTCACATTTGCAAATAGCCGACACCATACTTGGATTGGATAAGTCAATTGTAGAGTTATAAATGACTAAAGTTCATACAGCACAGAGTGTCAGTTAGGATCAGGAGCAGATCCGAAGTGAGGGGTAGGGGTTTCCACAAGGGACGTGACTCCCCCAAATCATATACGTCAATTTGAAAAAATCTTCTAAAAATTCATTCTAAGACTTTCATTTGTTTTACAATTTGTGCAAAAAAAATGTGTATTGTACAACAAAGTTTAATTTAGTCAACATATTTTATTGTTAGTGACCGCAGCAGGCTAAAACCGCGCCTGAGTGGGATAACCCAAATTCAATATGATTGAGACTTAAAGCTGACCTAGACAGTTTCACGATAATAACATTCTAAAAAAAAAGTTGTTGGTTGTTCATGAATTTCAAAAAGTGTTAAGTTCCTTCCCCCTTCCCCTTAGGATCGGATTTGGTATGAACTTTGTTTTCTTAACAATGAAAATAACAAAACACTACATCAATTCCCAGAGAAAAGCCTGTGGCCGAACTGTAGGAATAGGCTGATTATGACACTACATGCAAAAGACATATACTATCTTCCACGAGCCCTCTCATCTATTTTTATCAGACTTCAAAATGAAAAACCAGGAGGTTATATATATATATATATATATTCGATTTATTTTCACAAGTACAGTCATAGCAGAACTATTGCAAAATAAAAAAATATAATTACCTCTGGCGCTGCCCCCGTCTCTTGCTGAGTCGTCGCCCCGATGAAGGATCTTGCAAAGTGAAACGATTGGTAGTCTCTGGAGCGACACGTAGTGTCCGTGAATCTGAAGATTTAGCCACGCTCACCTGTTAAATAAAATCAAAATTTACGTTAGGTTGTTTTAAACTTTCATCGTCATTAACATTGTAATGATTGTTAATTACGGGATTGCTACAATGCACCTTAAATTTATCAAGCCCCTGATATTTCGCAAGTGCAATGATCAACTAAACAGCTTGCCGATCCTTTCTTCGGTTACTCTGTAATGATGGACCTGCAACGGTTACGAAATATCGGGGATTCGATAAACATAAAGTACCTAAACCCGTAATTAACAATCATTGTAATTTACGTTAAAATCCATAGAGCAAAAGTCCCAGGAATGTATAGCAAAGAAGGTGGAATGAAAAACGTAAGCGTTTAAAGAGGGTGCGAGGGGTGGGGGTGAACGGAATTAATAAGGATATTTTCCGGAAGCACATTAAAGCCAATCGTCCACCGCCAGCTAAACTCATTAATTAAGAACTGTGAACTAAGTTAAGTTAAACTGGGATATTTGTTGTCTGTCCACCAAAATTTAAAACTATAGATGATCAGTTTGTACTGGAGTGTCAAGTTAATCAGACGTGAATCGTGACTACGAGAAGTACGAAGGAAAAAATCATAGGAAAAAAACATAGATTATTGCTTATTACAGAAACAAATTAACTGGAAACATGGATTTCAAGTATTTTCATCTCAGCCACGATCGTCTTTCATATTCTTCAATTTTTTATTTGCTTCACGTTCTATTACACACACAATGGAAACAACACTAGCGAAAGTTGCTAGTAGGGTAAGTAAGCAGGTTAGTATGTCAAATAGGCGCAACATTCGCTCTGCTATCAACTAAATTGTAGTGTTAGTGCATACACGACAGCTTAGCGAGTAAATTTTCAATATCGCACAGCTTGCTTAGTAGTATACATAGAAGGCTGAGCTAGCACAATAACACGAGTACCATAATTTTTAGACGTATTTTAGAAATAATTACATTGACTCTTTGGGCACTATGACATTATACTATTCAATACACTTAGGATAGCTAAGTGAAGTTGGCAGAATAATGGTTGACGCAAAATGGTCATTGATAGACATGAATTTCTTTAACAGGACTTATGCATTAACGCAAGTCAAGTTTCAGTTTCCAACAAAATGTAGTGAAGAATTTGAATTGAATTTTTTTACTTAGACATAACAAATTCATTTGGTTTAAAAAAAAAATGAACATTTTTTTATTTTAATTCATTTCACCAATCCTTTTACCTATTATGAGAAATGCGAAACTTTGTGAGATCCATCATGTTTTTTACACTTTCACTTGAAACCTAGTGTTCTAGTATTTTTGCGTACGCTTGCCTAAACTATAATAGATAGAACCATAAAATGTTCTAATTAATTGTAGATCTTACAAATATCTACAAAAAAGTCTGCGACACACTATGCCTATCTATGTTGAGTGAGGCACAACAACCATGTTTTTATTTAAAAATTTTGATTTTTTTTGGACTACATTTAAACGCATTTATTTTACTCATGCTATTAATCCTTATCAGAATAAATTATTGCATCACTAAGTAAAGTTTATGTAGATAATATTTGGTCTTTGAATGATTAAAATTGGACGTTTGATTTTGAAGTTATGGCGAAATTACAATATTACAATTTCTTCTGTATGGCTGTTGCGAAGTGGACGTCACCAAGACGGGGGTGCGCATGCGGGAGGGGAGTTTAGATGTATGAGTAAGGTACCAGTGGACCACGCGGGCGAAACCGTTGGTGGAAGGCTAGTGTCATAATAATTCAGGTTTGAACTAATATTTGTGGTTGCTATTTAAAATATAAACACAATCTATTCAAAATAAAATAAATTATAATAATAATTGTAGACTAATTCAACTTAATGTTTTATTTCTTACCTTATCCATGAATCTTTTTATTAGATCAGGACAATTGAGATTACTTTCTGGTTCCCAAGAATCAAATTTACTGGACCAGCCCTTCCAATGAATAAGAAATTCCCTTTTGCCATTTTTCTTGTGATGCACTTCTAAAATTCGATCTACCTATAAAAAGGAGAAGCATTCATAATATTCTACATAATATAACAATGAAAATACTAATACTGCACTGAACAATAACTCGTGTTGGCAGTTTATAAATGTGGTATTTACACTGCATCAGCATTTAAATATTCAACAATTTCATTACATCACTATCAAACCATTGAAACTTGATATTTTCAAGAACAAGTTTCAATTTTAAACAAATATTATTCAAGCACAAAATATCTTATTTTGAATTAAAAAAATAATAATTGATACAAAAAAATGTACTATCACTCAATTCGAGTTTGAAAGTGATGTATAGATATTGTAAGAGCATAATTATGTTCGCATACTTGCTTGATATATACCAAATGAAACTTACTTCATATTCCGCATTCTCATCAGCACCTTTGCTATCCCATTCTGTCTTAGGTCTTTTAGAAGTCATCTTTGTTTCTTTTGCTGCTTTTCGTTTATTACTCTTTTTTGCAGATTTAGAATCTTTAGCTTTTAAGTTTTCATTCTGAAACAATAAAATGACAACATTTTTAACTATGAAGACTGTGTACAATCTGAAACTTAGGAATCGCTATATATCTCGTTTAATCTGTTCTCTAACTACACTTTTTAAGACTATAAGGTCTTGTAATTGGAAAGTGTGTACATGTTTATTTATAATATCAGCCATTGGACGCCCACCGCATAGGTTTCACCCATGGTTTCCACGACAACCAGTCCAGTTTCTTTGTTTGGATGTTTGTCCGTCAATCACGCCGAAACTACTGAACGGATTTTGATGAAATTTGGTATACAGATAGGGGTATTAGCTGACTTAGATACTAGGATACTTTTTATCCCACTTAACATTTCCTCTGGGTCCACGCGGGCGAAGCCGCTGGCGAAAGCTAGTTAATCAATATGTTGATGTTGAGACCCACTCTTTGAGAAGCACTACTGAGATCTTTGAACATAGTCTTCAGCTTTTCCAGGGTCTCAGCCATTAAGACTATGTTGTCGAAAAAAAGATGTGTTATAACTATACCCTTAAAAATATGCTCCAATGCAGCGGTGAAAATAAAATGTATGTGTAGTCTCTCAATTGTGACCAAGCAAGACTTACAAACTTTTGGCAGCTCTAAAGTCAATTAGGTTTTTTATGTGACAATTTTAAGTAATTCAGCAACCATTTAAATTAGATATGGCAACCTTGGACATGTTGTGGGGCAAAATTTAGTGTGCTAATATGTTTGCGGGCTGCGTTTTAAAGTAGTGTTGTAGTGCATACAATTTTTGCAATAGATATCAGACATGAAATAATATGACAATGTTATTATAAATTAGGTTTTGCAAAACGTCTTGCGAGCCGGATCCGGCCGGCTGTTGCCCACCGTGGATTTCATTTTTTTTCTGGCAAAAGATCAAATGAAATTCTATGGATAGCTATACTGATAGAACATAGTCTGTTTTTTTTGCCTGCCCTAGAATCAGACTATAATAATAACCGTTTTGGTCATCTTATGCCCCTATTTATCTCCTTGCCAACTCCAATGAGAAAAATAGGGACAGACTTTGTTTTAAGACCAAAACCAATATTTACAAACTTAAATAACTGATTCTAAAAAAAATTTACACTAATTATATGTAGTTTGATCACTTTGGTAAACTTTTGGTTAAGGATAACTACAGATATTGTTTACTTTCAACACACATATACAATAATAATACAAAGAAACCTTATCTTACTAACCAAACACCAGACACCATACCAGAGAGTATCTTATTAACCAAAAATTTCATTATGTATGTATTATAAAAACTAGACATCTCTGGAGTTTAACTCAACCAACAATGATATATTTAAATATTATACTAATATACTCACTTCATCATTGAACTTGTTGATTAGCTCAGGGCATGATAATGTATTTTCTGGTTCCCATGTATCACTATCTGCAGAATATCCTTTCCAACGTATTAGGTAATGCAGTTTACCTTTGATTCTCTTAGAGTCAATTATTTTCTCTACCTGAAATTTTGTTTCATATATAAACCTATTAATGTAAATTATTATTTAACAAGATTATTTGTTGTAGATCATTTTATCATCAATGTATAATATAAATGATTATTTAATCATATTAAAAGAAATGATATTTGGTGAAACCTCATATTCCTCTTCATCAACATTTTTGTCTTCTTTTTCAGATTTCTTTTTTTTTCCTTTTCCTCGACCGGGCTTGTTTTTTTTTGGAGTTTCTTTCTTAGACGCATCAAGATCATTCTCAGGAGTTTTTTCGACGCTATCATCATTGGCTTCAGAATTACCATCTTTTTCATTAAGGTCCAATGCTGGTTCTGGATCTGCAGTTTGATCTTCGTTCAGAATAGATCCATTAGTAGACGATATCACATCATCATCCGTACGACTTTTTGAAATTTTTCTCATGGTGAATTTGTAAAATACCACAAAAAGTGTTCAACGTAAAAGGAGGGAAAACGATAAAACCTGTGGTAAGAATAAAACACACGCTTAGTAGTGATGCGCTTAGTTAGAATCGAGAGACGCCTAGAATTGTGAATTGGTCCACGTACTAGGTATTTTCTGATACTAAGCTATCGCTTAGCAGAACACCTACGAACACTATAGTAACCATCTATTAAACAAAACTGTCTTGAAACTACCGCTATAGAAAATATATGAAGGTGCGCATACTTGGGACAAGGTATTTTAGATACAAGACGAGTCTGTCGTCTAGAGCTGAGAATTATGTATTACCTGTGGCTGAGAAACACCAACTACCTACTCCCTGGGAAACACTGCGTCACGCCACGAACAGGGAGTATTAAAAAATAAAAAAATTACAAACACTTAATTGACTGCAGCTATGGATGTGTTATCTTTGAAGCATCTCTACTAGATGGCGACTCTAGCCAAAGTTGATTATTGCAGGAAACGAATGGACCAAAGACAGTCATTTCCGTTCCTATTAACTAACATTAAAAAACTGAAATTTGAAAAGTTCGAAACTTAGATATCAATACAATACGAAAAAGTACAAATAGAATATGAGTTGTTTATTGAGTTTTGAAAACTAATTTACTTTTAAATATGAAAGAAAACCGGAAAGGTTATCATGGAGAAATCAAGAACGTACCGTGAATTAATGCTTTTTTTTTATTACTTCCTCATTACATCGATTAATTCGAGTTACACAAATGCAACTCGATTGAGTACGAAGAACGAAGTTTAGAATAAATTACTTTTCATTTGTATATTAATGTAAATGTGAAGGTTTTTAAAAGCTGTGGCAAATGTATCGAAAATTACTGTGAATATATATATGTTCCGTAACGAAACAGATCATTGATAATTGGCTATACAAAGACAACACAACTGTGGGTAAAATTTTTATTGTCTATGGGCAAGGCGATTAGCTGTCTTCGTTCCAAATCCCCACCCTTAATCCTTGGGTGACGGTTTACTACTGTGATTTCAAATTGTTAACTGCGCGCACCTAATTTTGATTGAGCTTGGTGAATTGTTCATTATCGAGAATAAGGACATTTCGGAAGAACGGTGGATCAGTGCCTATGGACTATATATCGTGTATGATATATTCGCTGGTAACCGCGTCGACGCACCCCGTTCCAGAACCCAGCCCTCGGAACCCGTGGCGGTAAAGGATCGCTTGCGGTGAGTCGCCAACCCCTGCTTAATATCGTACATAATTTCTTTTGATCCGTTCGAACCGGATTGCTATCTTTCAGTTGTGTTGTCTCTAAACAGTATTACGTACTTATTATCATGGATAGTGACGCAGCGAATTCGAAGCAGTCATCTTTGTTACGCAAAATGTCTGATGATGAATCGCCGTGTGAACAAGATTTATTCGAACGAGATCTTATTCTCGATGAGTTAAAACGAACATTACAGTTCGCAGCGACAGATGTCCAACAGTTTCGCTCGCGAACTACTGATTTAAATTCTCACCAACGTAAATTCAATAAAGTTCAAACTAAAATTGAAAAAACGTTAATCAAGTTAAGGTCTTTTAACAAAGAGGAACAGATTAAGATACGCAACGATTTCAATGATTTGTACTACGCTATTATCACTAATTTAAATAATTTAAAGAGGGTGGATGAAGAGCAACGACGTATGAGTCGTCCGTTAATAACGCCTTTAGTTCAGTCATCTAATTATAATAAGAATTTACCAACTTTGCCTTTGCCTAATTTCAGCGGCGATCCTACGGATTGGCCTTCCTATTTCGATTTGTTTCGATCATTAGTCCATTTAAACAGTGCCTACACAGAGGCGGAAAAATTCCGTTACTTATTACTTACGGTACACAACGAACCCCACAATTTAATTAAATCTATCCCTATTACAGACGAGAACTATTCGGTAGCTTTAAATATTTTGATATCTCGTTATGAGAATAAAAGAGTTATTGCCTCAAAACACCTTGACAGAATTCTCGACATCGAACAGTGTTCCGATAGATCGTCTCAAAGTATACGTAATTTATTAAATGTCTACCAAGAAAACATTAAAGCACTGGAGATTATGCACTTTCCCGTAAGCGAATGGAGTTTTTTGTTACTTAGCATTTTGTTACGAAAAATACCTATTAACACTCGTAAATCTTATGAACGTTCTTTAACTAATTCGTCCGACATTCCAAACGTTAGCACATTGATTTGTTTCTTAGAACGCGAAATATCAGCTGAGGAAATTATCTGTTCGACTAACAGCGGACAGTACAATAAATTATCTAGTGTGGCTAATGTGAATATGCGCCACCGTCACAATAATCGCGTAGAAAACCAGTTGCAGCAACGGCAACTTCGTTCGTTTGCTGCTAATGTCACACCAGTTTCAAAACCGTCGAATGATAATCGGTCTTATGAACAGAATCATAAGAATAGAAATTGCTTATGTTGTAATGCTCAACATACGTTGACAAAGTGTTCGCAATTTTTAAACTTATCCCCTCAAGATAGATTTGCTTTAGTTCGTAAGAAAAATATTTGTTATAATTGTTTGCATTTTGGGCATGATGTGAATCAATGCAATTCTAGTTTTGTCTGTCGTACATGTCATAAGCGACATCACACATTAATTCACTTTTCAAGTAAATCGTTACCGATTACTGATAATAAAATATCTGCAAATAATGCAGTCTCGCTCCCACCTTCAGTGGTAGCTGAGATGCCTGTAACCGCTACCACGAATGATCCGCAGTGCGTTGCTCCCGCCGGTGAGAACGTGATTCATAATTGTTGCGCGTCCAATGCCGCGTTCGCTCGTACGACTACGGTGCTATTGTCTACGGCACTCGTCGACGTATGCATAGGTGCGGTGAAAATAGCGACCGTTCGCTGCATTATAGACACTGGAAGTCAGGCGAGTTTTATCACTGAGGCGTGTGCGCAGCGTCTGGGTTTGATGCGCGGGCATGTTAATGTTTCTGTGTTCGGTATAGGCAATAGTGAAGCGGCGCGTAGCAAAGGATTTATAAATTGTAATATCGCGCCTAAGGGTAGATTAGAACCCTTAGTTCCGGTAAATCTTTTAATTTTAAACAAATTAATTTCACAAATGCCGAGTATGCAGTTACCGTACACTGGTTGGCCTCATATAAAAGATTTAAATTTAGCGGATCCCGCTTTTCATACGCCACAGCCAGTGGACCTGTTATTAGGAGCGGATATACTAGAGTCTGGCAAGCGAAACGTGTCACAAGAAAAGGGCGGCAATTTCAAAAATTCTTAAGCAGTAAACACTGAATGTAGTACTGCAAAATAATTTTGATACTTTTATTAATTATATTTAATCTTAACATTTAGATATCAATTAAAATTATTTGTTTTGGAACATTTGACTAAAGCGTGACTGTTCTTAATTGTACAGTTAACAGCATATCAGTAGGCCTATTCACTAACTCAACTGACAACCAAGAATCGTCATCACCGTAAAAAATAGACACTTTGATTGTGTCAAAATCACTATTTCGTATTCTCTATCAATGATGAGCAATTTCGAAATGTCAATATCGGCATTCTCCACTGGACTCCATTTTGACACTTGATTTCGTATCGATAAACTGTATTAAAGTAACATTGTTGCAAAGCATATTTGAAGTCGTCGCATAGTACCTCTTAAGCCATTTGTTGTTAAATTAAAGCGAAAAAAAATACGTATCCAATATTTTTCTATTATCTGACTGACGGACTAAATCGAATCTTTTTTTTAACCCATTCGTTATACCTATTGGCTAACAGCACTTATAATATTAAAAATTCATATTTGTCATTAATTAAAAGGGTGTTTTTTGCAACGACTTCTTTGTTTTTTTGTAATGAATATGGGCGACTCTGGCCACATTTTTTTAATAAATGTGATGTTAGCCAATTTTGATTTCTGGCCCTTATATTTATAATGTGTTCATAACACATACATGTCTCCTAAGGGATTTTCATCACAACCTTTTGCTCTGATCCAGAACCACTATCTATCAAATTAAATTAGTCAATATAAACACCAGATTACAATAAAAAAAAACATTTATTTTTGTTACAATTAAGTGCCATGGATAAATTACATAATACAGGTGTCACAAAATCATCATGTTAATCACAATAGAAAATTTAAGATAAGATTTTGACTATGAATCAGACTAAAAATACTTTAGTCTGATTCATAGTCAAAATCTGTTTCTAAATATTCTACACCTGATAACAATGACAAGGAATCATCAGAGTCACTCTCTTCACTACTGTCTGCACCAACAGATATAATAAATTTTTCAAGTTCGTTTTCAACAATGCCATCTTTTAATTTGTAATCATTTTCGACATTTAAAACATGATCAGTGTATTTCTTCCAGTCACTAGGGGTAATTAAGTTAAAACACTCTATTATTAAGTTTTCCATTTCCTTTCCTGGTATTCCAATGTTTCTGCTTGCAATTTTTCTTTTTGCTTGACTCCAAACCATCTCTATTGGGTTTAAGTCACAATGATACGGTGGCAGCAATAAAAGTTCATGATTATGTTCTTTTAAAATCTCTTCAGCTTCATATACAGGCAATGTTTTCTTATCATTAACCAAACACATTAACTCTGCCTTTGTCTGATATTCCTCAAAATGTATTCCATTATTTACAAGCCATTTACGGATATCTGCTTTGGTATTAGACATTATAGGCGGTTTATTGATTTGTTTTATATGGTAGCTGGCATTATCCATAACAATTACACTGGGCTTACTTAAATTTGGTATTAATTTTTCTCTGACCCATTTCATAAAGTTCGATGAGTTCATATCATCATGATAATCAGCAGATTTGGATTTACTACTGAACACTAATAATGCACCAGGCACAAAACCTTCCTCAGATCCAGCATGCACAACAATATGCCGTTTTCCAGAGGATATCTTTGTAGTGACACCAGTTGTTGAAGGTCCTTGCCAAGACTTTTTAACTTTATAATTCTGATGTACATAAGTTTCATCAAGGTA